TAATAGCACTTAAGCCCCTACGCGGACTAGAAGGGAAGCCTCTATAAGATAGGGTGCTAATAGAGAGTACCTAGAATAAGATCGTAGAGGAATTTAGAAGCGATAATGATGCTTAGTTAAAGGTATAGCTAGTAGATCCCTCGGAGGAGTAGGAAGTAGAAAGTAGAGCAATACTAATAGGACAAATGTCTAACTCTTCGCTAAACCTAACTACGACGGTCCTTATGCGGTTAGCTACTATAATAGTNATCCCGAGCGCNNCGCTACTAGAGGAGTCTATAGGTATATTAGTAGTCGCACTACGAGCGACACTAGTAAAATGGCTACTAGTCGTGCTACTAGCATATAGCGTAGTAAGAACGAAGACAGTAGAATAAACGAACTCGCCATTAATCCCGCGGCTAGCGCTTATACGAACTTTACTAGTAGTGCTACTAGTACCGTTACTAGCGACTCTTATAGTAGGCATGCAAAGGTCGCTAGCATAGGTATTTGTGCCTTAAGCGTCTAGCGAGCATAATTGTCTTAAGATTAGATTATCGCTACCCGTGCTATATAGTAGCGTCGTTAATACGTTATAATAGTTGCTATAGGGTGCTATGCTACTATATAGCACTATAGCAAGATTTGGGATTTTGCGACGTCTATATAGAGGGAAGGGAGAAGGTAATAAGAAGAGAGTAGGAGCAAGTAGAGACCGAGGCCGCTAATAGGGCCGAAACTAGGTTAATAGCTAAGGCTAGAGGTATGTATTATTACTTTATATCCCTTCCTTATTCTTTCGTATACTAACTATTACATCTAGGGCCCTCCTTCTCCTATCGACGCTACTACTAATGTAGCTAACGCCGCTACTCTTAATAAGATTATAAGAAAGCCTACGAAGAAGCTAAGTTCTTAAGGCGTTAAAGTTCTATCCTCGAGATTATTATTAAAGCTAACGTAAGAGACGTATTCCCTCCTATTACTAGAATGCTTAATAGCATCTACTCTCCTTAGCCTTATTAAAGCAGTATATCCGCTTAATAGCATCTACTCTCCTTAACCTTATTAAAGCGGTATATCTACTTAAGCCCTCCTCGATAGCGACTTCTCTTCTATCCGGAAGAGGATATTATTAAGCCTATTAGAAAGGGCCGCGCTATTAGCTAGTAAGAGAGAGAGGAAGGGGTAAAGGTTAAGAAGGAGGAAGGGGTAATAGTTAAGAAGATAACACTAACTACGTAATATAATAGGGCCTAGGGTCTTACTATTAATAGAGGCAAATAGAACAAATACATTAATAGTTAAATACTACTATTATTATTATAGATTTAGACGATTTAGACGTTATAGTAACTATAATAATAATGTTAGTAATAATGAAAAGGGAGTCTAAATCTTTAAGTTATAATTTTGTACGTAACGTTATATCGTTAAACTCGAGGCGACGTATGCTAAGCTTACGGTTTTTTTTATTTCCTTTCTAACCTATAGAATCTATAGGCCGGAAGATTAAGTAAAACTAACCTATAGAATCGATAGGCCGACAAAAAGGGAGTTAGAGGCTTTAAGGTGCAATTTTCTATCTTAAGTTTTAATTTTGCATATAACGTTATATTAGTTAAACTCGAGGCTACGCACGTAGAGCTACTAGACGACGGTTACATTCTACTCTGTTTTTTAACCTGCTAAATCTATAGGCCAGGAAATCAGGTATAATTAACCTATAGAATCTTTAACTTAGAAAATCGAGCAAAGTCCTAAATAGAGCTTCTACTTTTAGATAAGTAGACTACGATTTTCCCGCTTTATTAGAGGTAGCGACTAAAATGGATATACTTATACCTTATAGCAGGCTAAACTAGCGTATAGCGGATTCATAAAGCTATTCGCTAGTACGGTCGTACGAGTCCTCCTATAAGTAGGAGGGGCGTACTAGTAAAGCGGATAGATTAGTAGTAAAGCGCTAAGGCTTATAACTATCGCGTAACATGGCGATGCTAGATCTCTAGACTTGTTAACCTATAGAATCTATNCTCTTCCTTAAGGATCCTTTAGTACGTAGACATTATAGTAAATTCTACTATATCGTGTGTTGCCTTACTCTCCCTATTATATGTCGTACTCTATAGCATAGGTTACGCTAATATCCTCGACTATTATAATTAGACGTAGGCGGATAGGTAACTAGCCTTAAAATGCTATAGATTGCTTTCTATCTTCTGTAGGCGCTTTATACTCCTAGACCTAAACCTAATTACGCCGAGGTTTGCCCCCTTTCTACTAATTCTCTACGTAACGAGCGATGTTTCGTTCTATAGTACTACTATTATCGGTAATGTCGCTATGCTCCTTCCTACACTTAACAGAGTAATGTAGCTAGATAGGATAGTCATTTACCTAAGTGTCCATTAGCTTAACTCTATCTAGATCTAGGTTACTCGGCTACTCTCGATTATAAGGGCGTAATTCTCGGATAAACACTACTATTGCCTATCGGAAAAGTAGGCCCTCTTCTAGTCCGAGTAGCTCGATAATGTCCCTTACTAGTCGCTATAAAGCCTTCTTTATCCTCCGATTTTGTCCTAGTAGTCTAAATACTAAGTTAATAGGCTATAGTTCTCTAACCGAGACTAGCTCTTCGTCCCTTTTATGGCCGTCTACTAAGGTAGGTTAGGGACCGCGGTAGAGAATGTCTTATAGCGCGAGCATGTTAATACTACGTAAGTAGTGCTCTATTAGTTAGTCCTCCTAGTCGTTCTTCTTATTAGTCCTTTAGAAACCTTCTTTTATATAGGTGTAATGCTTGTGCTCTAGATGACTTATGTCCTAGTTCGGCGCATAGCTATAAAGGCGTATTATCTGCACGTAATGGGTTAAAGAATGCTACTTTAGAAAGTTAAAGTGCTGCTCGTCGTCCTTTACTTTTAGGTTGCGATATTTTCGAAACACTTCCTTATACTAGTTTATCCGATATAACGCTAGTTCGAAATATCTAAGCGTGTTGTCGTCGTAGCTCTAATACATAGCTAGCGTAATAAAGTCGACTATAGCCCGGATAAACTAAATAGCTACGTTAGCTTCTAGAGTGCCTACTTCTTCGAGCAAGGGAACAAATATAGGCAGTATCTAATAGAGGATGTATTTTTGTTCTGCTCCTGTCTATTAACTTACCTTAGATAAGTACTAGAATACGCGAATCGTCGTAAACTTTAGAATAGACGCGAATCGACGGTCAACGATGCTAGTTATAATGCTTTTAGCTACTTTAGCATTTGCTTTTGCTAAGCGCTTCTTCGTAGCATTAGCATATATAACCGCCTTAAACATACGCGTCCCTAGCTTGTTCCTAGCCTAGTCTAAAAGAAACAATTGTGTCTAGCCGAGTACGTGCATTATAATACCTTTTAGCAATTAGTAAAGGATGTCGACTATAAGACTCTTATGTATGTCCATTAGTGGCATCGTTAAGGCAAAACAATTAATGTCGTAGATGCGTTCGTCCGGATTAAGTTCTAATTCATCTCTAGATCCTAGACTAGCCTCCTCTTCCTCTAACTCTATGCCGTCGTCTATAACGTCAAAAGTCTACGAGGGCTAAGCCGTACTGCTACTAGACGTGCTAGTAGCTCCTTTACGTTATTATTAAATCCTCTCTCTTATATTAGTCTTAGACCTCTACTCGGCTATAAGTTTAAGGTCCTCTCGTAGATCCGGGTAAATCTTGCACATTGTGCAGTGTCTATTACCTAATACTCTAGTTAACTTAACCTACTCCTTATAATCTATCGTAAAGGCTACAATAATCGGGACATAATGTCTAGTCTAGCCGTCCGAGCAGGGGATTTCGGTACCTGCCTAAAGACATATCTGCTTTACCGGTTTAAATATGGTTACTAGATAGTAGTAAAATATCCGACCTCTTATAATTGCATCTCCCTCCTTAACGATAGGAATTAGACTAAGCAGTATTAACCCGGGACGCTCGTTTAAATGTCGAGTAGAGGCACGAAGATTTCTAATGCTAAGGTAGACTACGTAGGCTGCTAGGTCGCCTAACTATAGGGTTAACATAGTCTTATCGCTTATAATAATTAATGGCACGATCGTTACGCCCCTACCGCGTCTATCCTAACTAATCTTTTCTTATGTTTCCTACTACTAGTCTCCTGTTAGCATGTCGTTATATCTTCTATAGGTTCGAGTCTCGTCGGTCTATGCCCTATACGGCTTAAAATAGAGGTCGTCTTTAAATCCTAGATGTCTAAGAAAGAAGCGAATAGCACGTACTAGATCTCGATATCGTAAGGTATACGTTTTATTCCCGTTTAGACTATTGTCGCTAGGTACGTCTACGGTTATGTACTTCTACTAACTAATGTCGGCGATAGTTAGTATCTTTTCTATCTTCTCGCGTAGGTCGTTAGCGGAATCCTAGCCTAACTGTTCGACTAGCGACTTAAGACTAGGTTGTTTTAGGAGGTAGTCGATACTATTCTTCGATATGTTCTCTCGGTGTATCTAACGAGCAAAGTCGAAACTAAACCGACTTCTAAATTCGCGTAAGAGTNAAGATATAGGTTAGTTATAGCAATATCGGTTATAGAAGTACTAGCAAAGCGGATAGATTAGTAGTAAAGCGCTAAGGCTTATAACTATCGCGTAATATAGCGATACTAGATCTCTAGACTTGTTAACCTATAGACTCTATAGGTCCGTAACCCCTAAGATGTAGGTTAGTTATAGCAATATCGGTCGTAGAGGCTCCGGCAAAGCGAGTAGATTAGTAGTAAAGCGCTAAGGCTTATAACTATCGCGTAGCATAGTAATGCTAGATCTCTAGACTTGTTAACCTATAGAATCTATAGGCCCTTTACGATGTTAGATTAATCTCTTCTAGTACATCCTAGTCGTCTATATTACGAAATCTATCGTCCCCCTCTTCTACTATAGTAACGTATATAGTAGTATCTAAAAGGGGATGTTAAAGTAGTAACTTAGCGTCTCCCTTAGCAAAAGGGGCATCTTAACGGATGCTACTACGGAGCTTACGAGCATTAAACTCTTTAATCTTTTTACTAAATGCCTCTACTCCGACCTATACAATGTCTAGCAACTTAAATTAAGAGCTAGTACGACTACGAGCTTTAGTATATCCCGATTTAAATAGCTTTAATGCTATAGCCTACATGTCTTATAAGGCACTCTTTAGAGAGTGTTAGCTTATAGTCGTCTTACTAAATATCGCCTTATATCGGGTACGGAGCTTACTAGTATAGCTACTTATCGTAGTAAGATCTTTAAAGGTAGAGTAGAGGTCGTATATTAAATTCTTTCGTAACTTTATATCCTCCTTATAAAAGTAATTAATATGCTCTATCGCTAGATTAATTAGTTTCTACAAGTTTAGAAGGCCTTTAAGGTTAACAAGACTTCCTATAAGGATAGCACGCTATATATAAGGCTCTAATACTGCATCCGAAAGCAGCTAGTTAAGATAAAGCATCTTATAACCGTACTTATATTAACTAGTACCAAAAAACATAGCCGATAGGCGAGGCATAAGACGACGTAGTGTTCTAATATCTCTGTGTTTAATAGTAGTCTTAAGCGTATAGAACGTCTCTACTTCTTAGAGGTAGCGATATATGCTCTAAAACTCCTTATCGTAAGGTGCTTTAGACGCCGACGACTAAGTATCGAGAGTAAAGGCCTTAAGCTAGATCTCCTCTATAATCTCGTTAAATTCTAGTAGAGATAGCGTACTAATAGCCTTATTAAAGGCGTTCTTGTCATTAACGACTCCTATTAGAAGCATGCTACAAGCGTAAAGGCTATCGTACTATAGTATAGTAATGTGAGCATTAAATCTATATAGGATAAGAGGCTCGAACTAGTAATACTTTACACTATCTTTAGCGAGGCCCTTCTAGTCCTATTCTCTAATGTCGTAGAGTAAGGTATAGTANTATAGAGCTGCAGCAATAATGCGGTATACCTCGACTAGCCTTAACTTCTGCACATTACGGGGACGTCTTAAGCGACTAATGACTTGTTCGATAAGAGCTACTTGCTAGCATCCGTCCATTAAAATCATACAATCGGCAGGGACAAGCTTAATGCTACTTCTTATAGCAGCATAGGAGACTACGATAACATAAGGGCTAGAATCATCCTTTCTAAACCTCTTAAAGATTTCGTTTCTCTCCTTAATAGTCATCTATCTACTAACGATTGCAACATCTACTAGGCCGTCTATGTTACTATTTAGGAGGGTTAACTAATACCTAATACGACGGTATGCTACTACGACATTTATCGGTGTCGAGGCGCCGATAACAACCTTTCTTCTATAGCCGGTAGCTAGGTTAGTCTTAGACAGGGTGTGCTCTATAATGTCCACTATAGCCTTATATTAAGGAAGTTTCACTATATAAGGCATAGCGGCTTTATCGAATTTAGTCAACTAGGGATCATTAAATTAGGCGTCTTCGGCTTAAGCCTTATCCTTATCGCTTTCTAGCGCTACTTCCTTATTATGTTCTAGAGCATCATTAACAATAGCTTTAGCGCTTCTAAGAGTAAGGTCTAATAACAAGCTCGCCTTAAACATAGGATTAGACTCCCTTAATGCTTTAAAGCAAGGGAAGTTGCTAATGTAGCGGAACTTATAGATGCTTTAGAGGAAGCCGGCCTAAGAGAATTCTGACTTTTCGCCGCCATTCTTTCCTATTGCTATCTTAACATGTTTGGCTCGTGTAACAGCCTATTTAAGCGTAACCCTATAAGGTTCGGCGATGTCGTTATAGTATTCCTCTAGGATAGGGACGTTTATGTCTAGAACTCGCACTAGTGCTATGTTTACAATCGGAATCTAATTAGGTCCCTACGGTGTCGATGTAGTAAACTAAATGGTCGAGTCGTTTAGCAGACGAGCTAAATCCTAAGCCTTAGGCTTATTAGTAATAGCTATCGTTAACTGTCCTGCCTTGTAGTTAATAAGGGCGCCGCTAGTAGAAACGTCCTTGTTAAGGACTCTATAGATCTATCTTAACGTAATAAAGCTCTTTGCTAGGAGCTAGTCTCTCCTAACCTAGTTATCTATGTAATTAAACACATCGATCGCACTTTCTCCCTTCCTAGATGCTTTAAGAAGTAAGGCATGCTAATCTTAAAAGCGGTCCGGGTAAAGGGCACTAGTGCCTAGATTAGTTATGCTATTAGTTAGAGAAGGGATATAACGGCTTAAGCTCTCTACGGCCATTAATGGAGCGATAAGGGAACTCGGCTTATTAAGGAAGGTTCCGCTAATCTAGATAAACTGCGGTAAGCCTAGAATGCTTATTATGTTCCTCTACGCAAAAGTTTGCTAGCTAGTAATCTTGTGAAACTTGTCTATAAACATATAGCCAAATTCGGTATCGATTAAACGCTCGGAATCGTTAGGCTTAACACCTACCGGGGTCTTATTAGTGCTATAATCCGTTAGCCTAATGCGCGATAAAAGGTTTCTAGCAGCATAGATAATGACGGTAGTAGAACACTATAGGTACTATTCCTCTTGCCCATGTTCTCGCTACATCTTTCTCTTATAGCGCAAGTCCTTCCATTTCCGGAGCATCTATATAACAGATAATTTAGCATTGCTTTAGAACTAGCTAACGCAAAGCGGTAAGGCCGGCTAAAACCTAGAAGGGAGTTTAGAGCGAAAGCTTAAGACGTGATCGCTATAATTGTTTTTAGTCTTCCTTTCTAAAATCTTAGTAGATGCGACTATTACTAGAGTTAAGGGAGAAAACTTGTTTAAAGATCTGCACCATAATTAGATCATAAGGGGGGGCGGTACTACTAAGAATAGTCTAGCACTAACTTAAAGATCCTATTCTTAGTCCTTAGGCTTCTCTTTAGTTAATCGCTCTCGGCATTGCTTAATCGTCTTAGTCGGGGCTTACTTAAATAGCGTGTACAGATTTATGTACTCGTCGGTGGACTTAGATAAATAGCTCTATTGGAAGGCTCGTAGTACCTCGAAGATTCTAATAGAGATAGGCGTCTTACTAACTCCTATCGTATGGCTAAGAATCGTCTAAAGGCCTCTAGAAAGTAGGACGCGAAGACAGAATGCGACACTAAAGAACTAATAGGATAGGAGATAGAACTCCCTACTCCATTTCTCGAGGAAAACGCTAGAGTTAGGATTCTAATGCTCTAGATTAAAACCGACCATCTAATAGGTAAGCTACTAGGATAACGTAGTTATATAGGCAAGTTTATCTTGTCCGAAGAGAGCGCTAGTAAGTGTAGATCTAGATGCGGAGTCGACGTTTTTATAAGCACTAGAAGATAACTACTTATAAAGGACANCGTTTAAGCCTAGGAGTGCTAGGTAGTTATAGCTAGATATTAGGGAGTAGCCTAACGATAATAAGGAGAATAGAAGGGCCGCATTTTCTTACTATAGCAAGCCGATAGAAGTAGTAAGATACTAGTAGGGTTAGAAAGAACGCGTGAAGATTAGAGATATACTTATTAAGTACTGCCGGAGAGTGCATATAAGTTAAACGATAGAGTAGTAGTCTAAGGTTAGGGTTAGAGGGGCAGCGAGAGAGCAGTTACTCCGATGTTTAGCCTTTTCTCGCCCGCGTGTATAGGCTCTCTATATAAAGTCTATACTAGAACGTAAGCCGCGCTAGCTCTCTATCTACCTATTCTTATAACCGACCGATAATGCCTAAGTACCGAGACTACACCGTTAAAAGTACGATATACGCGCAAACTATAGAAGATAGGCGCGCCCTCTCGCTATACCGCTCTATTACGTAAGGCATTCGAGGCCGCCTCTAACTAGTTAACGAATAGCAATACCGTAACTTCTATACTATTGTCGAAAGAGTACTAGTAGCATTATAGGTTACCGGCAAGAGTTTTGCCTTAATCGAGATGCGAAATCATGTCGAGGTTAAGATATTCGCGGCTATATAGAAGCAGTGCGAGGCTCTTAGTCGCTTTTAGGAGATAGTAGAACTAATGCGCGATGCGCCTAGAAAGGAGTCTTTTAGGAAACTCGTATTTCGCGTTAATACAAATCTTAAACGCCGTAGTCGTAAGCGTAAGAACCTATCTAATCGAAGGCGCTAAACTACCTAATCGCCCTCGAACAACGACGGTTATATTACTAGTAGGAGCGGGTTAAATAGAGATAATTACTAAAAGAGTACGGGAAACATAAGTAGTAGCGAAGAGGAGGACATCGTCTATGCCGTAGAGCTAATATAGGTTATAGGCAAGGACAGAAAGTTTAGAGTAGTTACTCTCGCCTACGAGATTGCCGCATGCCTAGGAAGACTCTTAGATAGCCGTTATTTACCGAGTGATCTTAGACTATCTAAATTCATTAACAGATTAACGAAAGATCACGATTTTGATCCTAAGAGGGACTATATTAAGCTATATTAAGAGGACGAGGAGGCTATAATAGTAGACAACTAGAAGGCATAGGAGCGGCTAATTTTAATACGCTACATGCAGGGAAAACCTCTTAAGTTCCTTATAGTAAGCATCTAAGGAGGAAACATTAGACATAGGATTAATTACCTTAGGTTAAGGATTTACCATTACTAGAACATAGTCTAAGCAGTAACTCGACTACGTAGCGCTAATAATAACATTAGGTATCGGAAACAAGCAAATGACAATACGTGCTATTATAACCTAGCTAAGTTACGTAGATTACGGGAAAGCCGCGGATTATAGACGATCGCATATAATGCCTAAAAAGCGTTAAATCTGTACACTACGACTCTTAACTACGTCTACTCGTTTCTAATGCTAGTATTTAATTTATTAGACGTCTTTAGTAGGTACACTTACTAGTAGGCTATAGTCGAACACTAACGTAACGGAAGGCTCGGACCTTAGCTACGAACCCGACCCGAGCGACTAAGGGTTCTAGAGTGCCTCGAGCTCCTTTAATGCAACGCGAGGAAAGAAACGCCCTTACGATAGGATGCCTAAAAACAAAGTATATAACGACGATAAGACTCTCGATTAGTAGGTAGCCCGCTAGCGTTTATAGAAGGAGCTCCCTCTAGACCATTAGCAGGTATTTAAGGCTATAATAAGGGCTTACGTGTCGCTATTTCTAGTAAAGACACTAGAATATATAGCGTTTAACTAGGCTATAGCTAACCTTCATTAGGTCGATGCTACGTTTCGGCGACGATAGAAGCAATGTTAGGACGTAGATATGTAGCTTCACCTAGAATCATTAGCGACCTACATCCCTAATAGGATAGTTCGATAGTATATAAGTTAAGTACGAGTCTACTCTAAGGATTTAGCTAATAATGTCGGAGATGCGTAAAGAGTTAAGAGGTGTACGCTANAGACGTCCTACGTATATACCTACTTATATAGTTCTCTCTTATCGAGAGGAGCAGATCGATTAATATTACTCTACTTAAGACCCTCTTTAGGTAGTAGCGGATTCTAAACTACGATGTAAGTAGTAAGATTAACTATCTTGCCTATATTACCGCGTACTTACTACTTAATAGTATCCTTAAAATTATAATTGTCGTAGTAGATGACGGATTGTAGATAGCTACTATTCGACTATATCTTCTCCTATAGGCTTAGTAAGTGTTATTTCTTAGCCTATAGATTCTATAGGCTAAAAGCGACTTACTTAGGTAATCTTTACGACCTTTCTAGAGTTAGTAAGAGTAGCCGAGTAGCCCTTATAAATGCCGTAGTCTACTAGAGAAGATATAACTCTTTAACGTGCTCCATTCGTAAATAAAAACATACTAGTAGCCTTAGGCAGGTAGTTTAATAGCTTCTAATAACGGCTATAGCTAATAGAAGCGGTAATCGTAATTAGTCTCTTCTAGGCGAGCGTATTACTACGGTTATCCTCTTAGGCTGCTTTTAGTATATAGTATGCGCGAGGGTGCTATATAAGCTATAGGAGTAAGGAAGTCTACGTAGGGGCCGTAGTTCGTAGTTCCTTAGTAATTAAGGAGTAGTTAAGAGCGTTAAGACTCTCGACCTCTAGCGTATACTTACTAAACGATCGTATATTAAGTAGGGACTTAAACTTATTCTTAAGTGCTCTAATAACGAGCCTTTCGTAGCCTATAGAAACTGTAGGTTACCTAGGAAGGCCGCTCTTATATACCTCGAGTATTCTTTTAGCCTCTAACTTTTAAATTATCCTTACTAGCATATAATGCCTCTTATTTAGCGTACGAAGGTTAGGAGATTCGAGCGTAAGGAAGTCCTTTAAGAAGCGTTCTAGCAAATATCTCCTTCTCTAGAGGCGGATTATAGCCTATAGTTTCTATAGGTCGGTTCGGCGAGTGCCTCGAGGTACGTAAACGCGATAGTAAGGTACTATAGTAGCGTACGAGTCGTTGTTAGGGGCGTTAGGTAGTGTATTGCTATCGTTACTATTAAAATTGTCTTTATCGAGCTACTTAGTAGCATTAGCTTAGTCGATAGTAGCATCGATAAAAGGGTTACTACTTAAGGGTATAACGCGACGCACTATTTCGGCCATTTAAAGCCTTTAACGCGAGCCTATAAAATCTATAGGTCGGATCTAGGACTTTTTTAGACCTATAGAATCTATAGGTTAAGAAGTTTCAGGAAATCGATTTATAAATTAGTAAAAATGTAGTGCGAGAGCGTAGTGTTAGAATATAGGAAATAGAGGGTCGAATTTCTAAAGGCCTTTTACTAAAATCGTAACATTAAGTCCTTAGACGCTTGAACGAGTTCTTATACCTTACGCTAAAGCAAAGCTCTAATTGGCCTATAGAATTTATAGGTGTAAAATACGACGCTACAAAGTAGTTCCCGCTCTACTAAGTCTCGTTCGAGCTTCTAATTAATAAGATAAGTCTTCTTATGCTTTTCAACTCGGCCGTCGCAGTCGGTCCGCTACCAGGACGTCGGGATTGCTCTCGGTCCGGCAAAGCAGAATTCCAGAATCCTTCCATACACTCCTACAAGCCATGAAATGTCTAGCGGTTAGATGATAATCACGTCTGACGACCTAAGTAACTGTTCGTAAGACGTATATAGTAGTGCCGCACACTTTACTCCATACATGACTCGATTTTGATTCAGCTTAGAAGTGCACGTCAAGCATTGAACCGGCCCGAGACTGGGATAACATTCCACCCCTCGTTCGTAAAGTCTTCCCATGTCACGTCTTGTGTCGACCACCGCAAGTATCACAGAAGCCACAAAGCTCAACGATGTTCAGAAGTTCTGTGATTGACACGCGATTGGACGGCACCTCGGTAAGCGAAGCATATTGTTGGAGTGCGAGCCGCATGATCGTCAAGGGATTGAACCTCCTTCTTCGCTACACATCATTGTAGCTTCCTGGGGTATTGGTTGGGGATATGGGGAAATACCTGGAGTGGTGAAAAGGAGCATTGTTGTCACCAAGGTCGAATCAACGAATACATAAATTGAGTTGAGCGCCATCAATTTCGTGCCATCTCATTGCCATTTCTCCCCCTACTCCTCTATCATCTCCAATCTCGAAACACTTACGACATGGGTTTTCTCGTGAAGAAACCCGCAGATATCGAAGGGTCGGCGGTTCCTGCAATATTCATTGGTCTCTTTGTGGCCTTCGGTGGCGTACTCTTTGGGTATTTACACCCAGCCTGGCCCTTCACAAAAGTCTAATACGCTGAACATGAACAGTTATGACACGGGTACTATTGGAGGAATCATTGCCATGCCATACTGGAAGAAAGAGTTCTCCACAGGCTACACCGACGATAATGGGATGCCAGATATCACATCCAGTCAATCCTCAATGATCGTTTCTATTCTGTCTGCTGGCACTTTCTTTGTAAGGCAAGTTCCTTCACTGATACTGTTCGACACTAACGACAACAGGGCGCCTTGACTGCTGCTCCCACTGGCGACTTTTTTGGTAGAAGACTTGGACTCATCATCTCAGTTGGCGTGTTCACTCTAGGTGTCATATTACAGACAGCTGCAACTGCCATACCTATGTTCGTTGCAGGGCGTTTCTTTGCAGGTTATGGAGTTGGTATGGTCTCTCCATTGAGTGAGTACTCCGTACTTCCATCGATTTGTGTCTCACTGACATAAACTTCCAGTCCCGCTGTATCAATCCGAGACGAGTCCAAAATGGATTCGTGGAGCAATTGTAGGAGCATATCAACTTTCCATCACTATTGGTCTCCTACTTGCAGCAGTTGCAGACAATGCAACAAAAGATCGAAACGACACGGGCTCGTACCGCATACCGATTGCCATCCAGTTTGCTTGGGGTCTCATATTGGTTGGAGGTGTATCCTTCCTGCCAGAAACGCCCCGTTTCCTGGTCAAAGTAGGAAAAGAAGCCGAAGCTGCAAAGTCGTTGTCACGGCTCAGACGGCTTCCGATAGACAACCCATCATTGGTGGAGGAACTTGCAGAGATCACTGGTATGTCTCGCGTCTTCAGTGTAAGCTCACAGCTGATAATCTCCACAGCTAACCATGAGTATGAAATATCCTTGGGCAAGGCAACATACCTTGACTGCTTCAAAGGAAATCTTGGTAAACGTCTGGCCACTGGATGTCTGCTCCAAGCGCTGCAACAACGTAAGTCAATCAACCCAATAGTTTGCTCAAGTACTCACGTACTTTAGTCACCGGCGTAAACTTCATCTTCTACTTCGGAACTTCTTTCTTCACCAACAGTGGTATTGACAAACCTTTTGTCATTAGTATGATCACTTCCACTGTCAACACGGTCTCGACCTTCCCTGGTCTTTATGCAGTCGACAAGTTCGGACGCCGTTCCACCCTCCTCGGCGGTGCCATCGGCATGACAGTGTGCCAGGTATGCTATCTAGCCCCTAAGCGCGAGCGTGTCGCACCATAAGCTAATGTTACCCTCCAGTTTATAGTGGCAATTACCGGAACGGTCGCAGATATTGACAATATGCCTGCCCAAAGAACTCTGATCGCATTTGTCTGCATCTACATTTTCTTCTTTGCCTCTACATGGTGAGTATTTCTTCGAATGAACTTGATGTTCTCTACTGACCTTCATAGGGGCCCAAATGTGTGGGTGGTGACGGGCGAAACTTTTCCTCTCAAAGTTAGAGCGAAGGCATTGTCTATGACTACAGCATCAAACTGGTTGCTCAACTGGGTAAGCTCAACGATACCGTTATCTACCATCTTTACTGACGAACTCGATCAGGCACTCGCATACATGACACCCTACCTCGTAAACTCCGGCCCCGGCAACGCAGACTTGGGAGCCAAAGTCTTCTTCATCTGGGGCAGCAGTTGCTTCATCTGCATCTTCTTCGTATGGGCATTGATCTACGAGACCAAAGGGCTTTCTCTTGAACAAGTTGACGAGCTCTACAGTAAAGTGGACAAAGCTTGGAAGTCTACTGACTTTGTGCCTACGGTTTCTTTCCAGAATGTCGCACATGCGGGCGTTAATACTCGGGAGAAATCTTTGGCTGATATTGAGGCGGTGGTGGAGGAGAGGCACCAATCTGTGTAGATGGAAGGCTATCACGTTTTTCTGTGGCAAAGTGTCTATGAGAAAAGAATAGGCTTGCGTGCGGAAGAGAGAGGTTTGCAGACGTTTTGGGAGGAGATTGAACCTTACTTTGTTTTTGGTGGACTTTGAAAGGCCAGAGCAGATTAGCAAAGATGAGCCTCGTCGCTTCAACATTTCCCATGTTGCCAACAAGCCTAGATTGCTCGTCAACATCTTCAACGAGTCCGAGGAGAACGCTCGTCACAATACTGTCCTACAGATTGGGTGCCAATGATGATATAACCTCGCAAGACAGATGGAAAGGATCACAGAAAGCCTTCTACATCTCAATCTCTCGTGGATGCATGTGGCGCGTGCTTGTCACTTACCTATCATGATGTCAGGCAACTACGGCCATATTATGTGAATAATGATTTATGTGCGCTATAAGGAAACGAGGAGAAGTGACCAAGCTAGAAGAATGGTACTTGTCTAGCCTCCGTATACACTTTTCCCTATCTTGATGCTATAGTAGAAACACCTCGGTGCTGTTCAGAGTCACCTGCCTGTCAAGAATGTCATAAACAGCCTGCATTGTGCAGCTTGTGTCTCATTCGATCTGACCTACCTTGTCCACTCTAGATACTCTGCTCCTTTTCCACCCTGTCACTATGATTACACATCTCCGTACACAGCCTAAACATAATAGCAGGCCGCAAACGGTATGGAATCTCGTAATCGTGAAAACACTTGAATGCCCCTCTCTTCACCATATCATCCATATATTCTGCAGGCATTCTCGCAAAGTCTTGAGCAGCTGTGACGACTTCTGCCTGACGCTCACAAGCCTCAGCTAATTCGTACAGCTGGGTAGCCAAGGGTGAAGCTGCGTCTACAACCTGCACAACTTCTTCTCCCAAGAGTCCGAAGAGGCCGGTTTTTGCTGCGAGAGGAAAGGCGAGGTGTATAACAATGACATTGACAACCACCAGCCATTCTGGCAAGAGCTTGAGCGCTGCAAGGTTTTTCTGATTTTCTTCAGAGACTGGCCATTTGTTAACAACCGCCCAAGCAAAAGGAAACAAAGGTTCGTCGTCGGGTTCCGAATACATCAGATCTTGGATGTAGTCCACCATAAACGACGCCTTCCCATTCAGCCTCTTCGCCTCCCTCGCCAAAGACACCAAAGGATGCCCTCTAGTCGTGTAACCAAGATTGATCTGATGCCCTCCATCCCAACTCAGATGCGTAGAGTCCCGCACAGAATCCTTCCAAACGTCCCATTGTATATTGGTTCCAGTGGACCACTCAGGTTCTCCAGATAGATCAATGGCTTCTTTCTCCTCGGTTGTGAGCTTCGGGCCCATCTCGCCGGTCTCAAAGGCGATTTGTCGTGACTCATGGCATACTCGTGTGAGGAGTGGTGGGCGGCCGTTGCTGACGATACTCGAGGCGAATTGACAGGGGTGTAAAGCATTATCTGAGTAAGTGTTGTAATAGACCCAGTTGACGATAAGGTCATACTCGCTCACACGGTGCGGCAGGCAAAGGCGCCATATCATGTGGCGAAGTTCAATAGGCAGTCGCGGAAAGGGGTGAAAAGTGTCGTCGGCCATCTTTGGGTTCAGACGGCGAGATGCGCGACTGTGTTTATAGCTTGTGGAGATGAGTGTCAGAAGAGGATGTGTTGGAAAATATAAGAAAGAATTGACAGTCTGGGGGCGGCGAGGAACATATATAATTTGGCGGTGTGAGTCTTGGCACTTCTGAAAAAGGCAGGAGCTAACCATGCGCTCGGTATCGCGATATCAAATAAAGCTCCTTCCCACAACATCGGGAGTTCTTAGAAATGGTCAATAGATCGTGTGGTCTTACTCTCCTCTGTACTGCGTGCCTAGACAAGGCTTGAACGCGATCTTGCGTGCCGATGCTGTTGGAGGCTCCCTGAATGCTTGAGCTCATTGTATAGAACTATCTGGACATCGATCCATGCTCCATCTACTTTCTTCGCGTATCTCTCGTTGCTTGTCTTCTAGCCCATCTCGACAGCGTTTATAAAAGGGTTTTGTAATTATTATTATTAACATGCAAATCGAGAGCCCAGAAACAGACTACTCAATAAAAGCACTTTGACAAACAGCTCCCTGCCCATCAAGAGCAGCGCTCGCTTTGCCATCTTCTTGGGCAATTAGACTAGGATTCAAAACATTGGACCTTTGATCGACATGCAGTCAAGTGTCTTGCTTGGCTGAGATCTTGATCGGGAACCTATCAGTGAAGCTGTATCATTGCGCCCAATTCATTCGCCAGTCGCTCTTTCCTCATTCCCAAGACCTCGGAAGACGGCAGAAGAAGACCGCTGAGGTGGCGGTCGTATGCTGTAAGACTTGCCTCCAAGATTTGAGAGGGCCATATTGGCCACAGCGGTCGAAAATCGCGAGATCAACGACGAGTTGAGGTCCATAGAGTCTTTCCGAGCAGGCGATGGTGGCAAAGTATGAGTTACCGGCTTGACTGATGCGGTTCTCGTGATCAATGACTTCTTGGACGATGTTCTTATTGTAGGGCTGGTTGCGATGAGTCCAACTACAGATGGTCGGCGAAGCGCTCGTGGTTCGAAGAGTGCAGAGAATTGATCTGCTAGATTAGTTACATGTCGACTCGGTGGAGGAGCCGTGGCTGTGGTTGGACTCTCCGGTATTACAATCATAGGTACCAGCGGGCTCGATATTTGTGGTTCGTGACCGACGTGCAGAGGCTCATTACCAACAGCAAGCGACCGGACGTAGGCTTTGATCTCATCATGTCGTGCTTGCAGGTGGTCAACTTCCACTCCCTCCGCCAAAAGCTCTGCCTGTATCTGTCCAAGCACATCGATGCTTGGTGGCCAGTTCAGCGATGTCGAAGAGACCTTGAAACCGACTAGCAGGCTTTTGAGTGTTGTGGAGAAGTTGATGAGCTTTGCTTGTAGATAACGACATCCACCAGTAGAGAAAAATGTTTCTGCCGTGAATTGTGATTTTTCTGACCAGTCGAGTTCGGCGAAAGAACTCCAAATGCTTCGGATGTTGAACAGATTTCGGTCGCATGCTTCGAGGGCGCTCCAGAGCTCCGATGCTTGGTCCCTAGTGGCCATGTCGAATGATGCAATTGACGGGCTCGAGGCATCTAACAATAATTTGAGAGTCTCCGAGAGGTTTCTGACATCCGGAACAATTGCAGAGAGCTCAAAAGGACCTTGCTCGACACATCTCAAGGTTGTCGTTGAATTTTGATAGACGTCGTTGACCTTGTTTTCGAGGTCGAAAGGCATACTTGAGGTGAATCAAAGAGCGCGGAATAGAGCAGAGTAGCTGACAGATGTTGATAGTGCAATCTTTGCGCGAAAATTGGATAGAAGAGATGAAAATGCGCTGCGTCGCGCAGTAATCATATACCTTTCAGCTGCATGACACAAGGTGAGGTGACGCGTACTGAAGCTGCGTCTGCTTCGGGGATGAAAAGCAACTGCGTCGTGTCGATCTTCCAAGAGATGATAGACGGTATCTTGTACTTTGCTGCAGGGGACTACGTCGTGGCAGCCTACAGCACGACCACGTAAGTGTTATCATGGCGGCGCTCTACATCGACCGACACCTCGAAGACGCACGTATGCGTGTTGAGCATCATGTCGTTATGTCCTGAATGTTTTGTCCGACGGCGCACAACCTCATTGAATCTTAATTGTAAGGCGAAGAGTCGTCGTCGCGGTCGTCAGCGTGTCTGGAAGGTTTCTTAGTCGCCAAGCTTGTGGTATGGGCGTCCATACTCCAGATGTGGGTATCCAGATCCCGACCGATTACCTATGGTGGACCCTGCCATGAGTTGCGAAACGTAGAGCCGCTTGTTAAGTCCCGATACAAGCAGGGACAAGTATGAGGTGTGCTCCGGGAGTCAGCTCCTGCAATAAAGCCGTCGTCAGGGGTCATCCACTCGTGCAGATGGTAAGGCCTGTAAAAATGCACAGTGTTTTTCAGAACATTGTAGTTCTCCAGTGAGAGCTGTTCGCCTGGCGACTCTCGCTGAATCACGTCAACGGCTGCCAAAATCATCGTGCCTTTTGACAAGCACACAGCTTCATTCCGGGTGAGATGGGAGCTTGATCTCTTCACAGTTTGTCTTCACACCTGTCGTCGATTTTGTGAAAGCTTGGACGTTTCGTTCGTCGTCTAGGCACCGATCGGTGTATTTCTGCGCTCGCTAGCACTGACACCCACGTCCTTTCCTTGCACTCTTTTCTCACTCCCCTCTCGATGATAGATGGTCAGTTCGTCCAAATCTTTTCTCTCACTATTACTCACCTCTGGCAGAGCTTTCTGTTCCACTTGTTTATCATCACCATGGTTTTCGCTTCTGTGTTTGAGCGCGTGTTCGGAAAGGCGCAAAAGACAATCACCAAGCCTTTTGGTGTCCTCGACCTCCCACATGAGCTTCTCAAGATCATAATGATCCATGTCGATGACTCTTCGATCATCGCAATCAGATCTACTTGCACCTTCCTCAGGGAGGAGAGTAAAGACCGCTTCCTCGCACTGTACTTCACCGACATCGAAATCAAGATGTGCAAAAAGTCACTTCAAAAGCTCTTGTCCTTCTCCGACGAACCCCATCTTGTTTCCCAAATCAAGTCGTTGGTTTTTGCTATTCCCGTACACTACTACTTCCCTCACCATCTCGACTTGATCACCGAAGCGCTCTCCGGCCTTTCCCAACACGGAAAAGCCATCTGCTTTGGCGTTGCCTCAGAGCAGGACAACCACATCGACCTCAAACTCCATGTTGGTGACATGATGTATCTGCTGAGACTGCTGCGCAGTCGCCTTGTTGAAGCCAGAGAATTGATGAACGTCCCATCCTGGAAGATCATCATCAGAACGCGCGACTTCAGAAACGATTCCGGACAATTTGTTTATTGGTGCTTGATCGATCTCCGAAGGTTCATCGGGTTGGAAGCCAGAAACATCACCACGACTCAGGCTATACTGGTAGAGATACACGATGGATGTGGCCAACCCACCCGTGAAATCAACATCTCCAAGAAGACCAGTCGCACTATGCAGGCAGTCTGCATCAACCTCAACTGCGACGTTGTGAAGCCAGACAAGTCAATCGAGGCACTCGACGAGCTTGAGTTGTTGACTCATGGTGGTACAAGAGCCGCTTTGGACAGTCTCGCTCTCAAACAGTCCACTATCAGAAAATACAGCCTCCGCCATGTATTGAATCGCACACGACTCGAACACCTGGGGCTTGAAGATGTTCGCATCAGAGACTTCAATGGAAAGAACTACATACCCGGGGATTGGCTTGAAACTTTTGAGGATCTCATCATCTATGATTTCTTTGACAGTCTTAAGTCGTGTCGTCTCACCAACCTTTTCAACGATGATGGAGAGGTCTTTGTTGAAGGTACCTGGGAGTTTACTGCTACACCCGGCAGTATCACCGTCACCGATGCCATCAGAACACTCATCTCTAAAGTCAAGTATGCTCGCTCTCTGAGAGAGCTTGCTTCGGAAGCCCATCAGCCAGCTTGAGCAAGCCACTTCAAGGACTCCAGACACTCAACGGACGAGCACTCACAACATGAAGCAATACGGGATCATTACATGATCTCAAAACTGGTGACTGATTGGGAGAGGGTGGGGAAGCAAGAAGGGCGCTACTGGCATACAAATCAAGCAGGAGTGATTAGAGATACCACAGCAGGTGATCAGCTTGACATGGCTTGAGGATCAGAAGAAGGAGACTGGTATACACCGTGACACCATCAAGCAGAAGTAACTAGAGTTCCAATCAATTGCCCGATATCTTTTGTCTTTCTCGGGAATCTTGCTCTCGTGAATTAGGATTGAGGGTAAGGAAAACAATAGATGCTTCTATACCAGTGAAAATGTCCAGTGAGAGTGTCTCCCACACGATACATCTAGTCTCGCTGAGCGTGATAGGCATTTCCAAAATCACCTTTCATCTCGACAGCCACATTCTAGTCGTGTATGCCGTGCTCGAAGTGGTCTTGTTCGAGAAGGTGAGAACTACGAAACACTTCTGGTCACTTGTTCGTCTCACAGCACGCTAATTGATGACACTGATCGCCGCATTTCATACATGGTGCCGGATGGGCAAGGCCAGCAGACGACAAAGAACTCTCTGCGTGTAACAAGCTGCCACTCCTTCTGCCACCCTACGGCGATCGTCCTTTTTTTCCAGCTATCTCTGATCGCAATCATCTGCCCTCCAGAGAAGAGGGCTGATCGCAATATCGCTAGGTCCTTCGACGCCCAATAGAGGCATTTTAAGGTTGGCGTCTCTTGGTCGGTTCAGACTCTCTTTACAGCCAGGGGCAGTTTCTTGGTCGGAGGGCCGGTCTTGCGAATGAGACGGCACTTCACGAGCAGCTTTCGACTTCGAAACAGTAATGTTGAGCTTCTCGATATTGGGCGGCGAGCGGGGGGCGAGGCTGTTATAGATCGGGACGAGACGGGTGAGATCGATGTGGGTGGTTTCCAGCGGACTATTTCGTGGTCTTCAATATCGTTAGCATTGAATCAATGACAGAGAGGCTCCATGAAAGCTGTACATGTTAGGCGATCTCGTGAATACTGGATTTCCTTGTCCTTCCGATTCATTTCTTCCAGTACTGAGCGCGACCTTTGTCTACGCAGCGTCATCTCTGACGAGCGAACCATCATCTTTCACCGAGCTCGAAGGATCCAGTTCCGTATCCTGCATTGCGCGTCAACCCAACTGATTTCATCCTTTACGATACTTGCCTTGAAATAGTAAAGCAGAGGCAAACACCGCCTCAAGCGACGAAAGGTGGTTGGTCGAAAGCTCTGCGCCTGAGATTCTCCTATTGCGACTTTCGACATCCGCCTTTTGTTCTCACGCACCCCTCCGTGAACAAAGTTCTCTTCAACATCAAGAGATCTCTGCGATCCTCGCTCAAACCATAACTTCGCACACTCTCCTGCGACTCATCTCAAAAACTTCCTCGCCTTTACTCTACAAGACCACGAGGAGATGGCTCATTTGTTCCCCTTAGGCCAGCCGAATCGCCGATCTGGTAGGTCGATTGCATCGAATTCCTTTTGGACCGAGCTAATACAGTCTACAGGTGGTGGTATCTTCACATTCCTCAGAGCGCACAATCGTTCGCCGCCTATCTCTTCCATCCCACGATCCACCTCAGTACAGCAGCGACACAGAATTCAAGACATCCTACCAAACTCGATACGCATGTATATGTTATTAAACGACAGGCTGCTCGCACGGTCTCAAGAACCTGCGCCTATCCGTAAGAGACTACATCAGAGCCCCGATGATGAGACGAGTCGACTGCCCATCCGGCGTACATCCTGGAACTCCCTTCTGAGTTGATGAACATCATCATGTCCTTGATTATCGATGACCTCAAGGCGCTTTCAAGCACGAGAGCCACTTGTGGATTGTTGAAACAGATCACACAACATGATTTCTGTCGAATCCACATCACCGAGATGAAGAATCTTTCCACCACCAAGGCCCTTGAGAGACTTCTCTGGACCTCGCTACAGCCCTCCTTAGCTCCTTGGATCCGCTCCAACACCGTAGACTTCCATAACAAGCATCTTTTGTTGTCGAACGTTCTCGAAGCAACCGATGTTCCGGGAATCGTCGACTTCCATATCAAAGATGACGCGCCACTAATCTCGCCCTGGTAAACCTCAAACACTCTGGTAACGACGTCTACATCAAGATCATGGTTTCGAAGAAGCCAAGCGACATGCACTCTTCCGTCAACATTATAACCTACGTGGTCCTCTGCTACATCCTTTTACGCTCTGAACCGGAGCTCCACTTCCCTTGTCGCAACGTCGTACTGGAGTTTCACAGTCCCCCTTACCTAGAGTGGACCATCTGGAAAATCAATCATGAGGATATGAGTGAGAGGCACAAGCTCATCTGGGACCAGATGCTAACATCCAAAGCTGTCGACGAGATACTCATCAAATTCGTACAACGCGAGGGGGTAGAGCAGTCGCCCCTTCCACATACCATCGCAATCACACGCTCTGAACATGGCCTCCACGTGCGCTTTCAAAACATTCACGAAAAGCGCATTAGTGTTATCGGCCACATGAATATCTTCCACAGACTCTATTCGCTCGAGATGGAGGACTGCTCCATCTGTGACTACGATCTGGAGCCCATGCTTACCAATCCGAACCTCGAGAATCTCCGCCTTCACGATATTGACCTATCTCCTTATACGGGCAACTACCGGGCGCACCTACCATATCGTTGGCCAAAGATGCTCGGGCTCGTTGCTAGTACCACCGATCTCCAGTCATGCCAGATCTCTGGTCTGGCTGACTGGGACAATGCATTGTTTCTGTCGGAGTTTTGGGAGGCTGAGACCAAGGATGGCAAGACCGTGAGCGAAGCTCTTCTGCAGCGAATCAAGATCAGACGTCCTTGGTGTTGATATAGATAGGTAGACAGAGGCAGCCAAGGAGGAGCAGTCACTTTCAATAGGAAAAGATGGCTACGAAAAGACAGAAAGATTTTCGCAATCTGATAGATGTCCAGTGAAGTTGTGCATACATCCTGCTCTCTTCGGACCAATCGACCAATCTGAATTCAGTTGTGTATGTTCACCGTGATATCACTGATCGCTCTGTCCACTGAGATGCATAATCTTGTTCAGACAAATCATGTCAGGAACTCAGGGATGGGTTTTCTTTGCACCTCTCGATCGATCCCAGTGTCATCTTGCCTTTCCATGGCAATGTAGTGACAGTCTGCTGTTCAGGAGATGAATAGCATCTTTACAATTACTCGTAACATCCATCGCCCCATAACATTCGTTCCGAACAGATCCTTGTGCATCTTGGAAACACGATTTGACATCTTCACAAGCGCTGCGCGAAACATAGACAAGAAAACAAATTTGATATGACGTTCCAAAGATACAGATATCATAACACACGTTGGTAGTTTCTCCCATATCTCAACACACTACATTCAAAGCTTCTTGAACACACTCTTCAAGCTCCCAAATAATCCCTTCGGCTTCTCTTCTTTCCTGCTCTCCCTATGAGAACGCCGTCTTCGTTCTTCTGGTCGTCTCGAGGGCTCTGGTTGTTCGCGGGTATATACCTCTTCTCCTGCATCTTCTACCTCAGTTCTCCTCCGCTCTGTGCCTATCTCCTCGGTTCTGTACCTCCGGACCTTTGGCTCCCGTGGCTCGCGTGGCTGTGGCTGTGAGCTTGGCTGGGGTTGTGGCGACTGCTCTCTGATCTGCTCATCACGGTGCGAGGACGAGTGTTTCCTAGCCCGAGGGCGCTCATCCCTGTGTCGCCGATGAGACTCCGATACCCTATCCCCATGCCTTCTTCTATGCCTTCGAGCCGCACGTTCGGGTTCTGTATTCCTGCTAGATTCCACTTTAGCTTCTTCATGTCTCAAACGTGCCGACTCTGACTCTCTTTCCTCCCTCTCACGTTTCCTTCTCTCTTCTTTTTTCGCTGCGGCGGCTTCTGCTTGGTGCAGGAAGGCTAGTTTGGCTTCTTGTTCGCGCAACTTACGGGCTCGGTCGGCGATTTCTGCGCGTTGTTCCGCTTCGGCGATTTTGCGGCGGGTTTCTTTTTCGCGGGCGGCGAGGTCGTCTGCTTGGCGTTTGAGGTCGTCGATGTTGCTGGGTTGGCGGGAATGTTTTGAGCCGGAAGACCTCATGCCTAAAAAGTTGGTGGGAGGAGTTGTCTTTATAGTGGTGCGACGAGTAATCTCGACTGGAGCTTCTGGATCGTCTGTGGGGCGAGATACATCTTTGACCTTGGTGCGTGTGCTGTGGACCGATCTTCTCTTATCCTTCGGTGGGGAGGCACGGGAGGGTTGCTTTGAGGTGCTTGAAGAGGCTACTGGCTCATGGGCTGAGGCCTTTGAAGGGTGGATGGATGCTGGGCCGGCTGGTGGTCCGCGATTTGACGCTCTTGAAGTTGGATAAGGAATGGATCCCGATGGCGCAGCTGACTTTGGAGGAAGGGCTCCGGACATCTCTGCTACGAATGGATGTTCAGTATACACAGATCCCAATTGTGGTTCACCCATCGGTTGGCCTCTTTCGGATATAGAGTCTTGTGGTCCGAAGTTTTCTTCTTCCCTTGCAGCAAAGCCATGGCTGGGTGCAGAAGGTCCTGGTTCTGCAGCTTCTGGTGCATCTTCTGCAGCTCCTGCTATAGATGGCAATCTTGGACTAGGTTCCTCGTCAGGTTCAAGCGACTTCTCAACAACAGGCTCAGTAGGTACCGGATCCTGGTCCTGATGATCTCCGTGGTCGGAAAGACTTGGCGCAGTTCGTTCTTCGAGTAACGCTTTGGCTGAACTGCTTTGCACATCTTCGACCAGCACTTGCAGAGAGGGCTTGTTGGAGATGGTTCCTCCTTCTTCCTGACCCACTGTCCCTTCTGTTGAGGACGCGGCATTGTTGGCTTCTTCGGGGTCTTCGACCGTGGTCTCGGCGGGTGCTTCTGGTATATAGTCGGTTGTGGTTTGGGCAACTTCCTCAGGTGGTTTGTCTCCAGCAGAGACCTCGAGGTCGTTTATAACGGATTGCTCCGTGATGGTTTCACATGGCACAGTGCCCGTGTGGTCGTCAGCGACTGGTTCGCTGGCTTCCTTGTGGAGAGCATGATGCTCAACAGCAGGTTCTGGCATGACAGGCTCCTCGATGGCATCAGCAGCGAGCTTGTCAGCAGCAGGCTCTTCCACTGCTGCGTCTGTGACAGGCTCTCGGACTTCAGCAGCAGCAGGTTCTTCGATCACAGCTTGATCCACAGCGGGGTCTTGAGCGGCTGGCTCGTCGGCAGCAGGTTGACTTGTGCCTTCCGAAGTCGTGGCATCATGTTCTGTTAGCAGTTGTTCAGGTGCACCAGCCTCAGCCACTACAACTGCTTCTTGTTCTGTTGGAGCCTGCTCTTCGGTCGCACCAGTATCTTCTCCGCTCTCTTGTTCTGCGACTGTGACCTCAGGCGGATGATCCGTGTTGGAGGAAGAGTTTGTTTCCGATTCTTGTGTTGCGTGTGCTGAGAGCGCATCTTGATCGGCGGGCGGTATATCGACGGCAGCATCCGGCGTCTCTATAGGTGAGACAGGAGTTGCGTCTTCCCGATCGTTAGGCGTTGCAGCGAGAGGCTCAGATTGGTCAGACGCTTCAACCTTTTCTGCTTCTGGTTTTACAGTGCTGCTGTCGAGGACTGACACCGGGTCTTCTTCGACTGAATTCGGCACGTCTGCCGCCCCCATCTCAATCGCATCGGCTGCCTGCGGGGCTGGGAATTCCTCAGCCTCCTCTCCGTCTATAGGCTCGGTGGTGGATTCGCCACTCATGTTTTGTTGCTCTTCCCCTCCATCTTCGTCTTCGCCGCCAGACTCGCCCTCGGCTTCCGAAAGCTGACTATCAGGAGGCATTGGGGCCTCGGGCAAAATCTCAACATCCGTGTCGATGCCTTCTTCGACTTCCGGATGAATTATAACAACCAAGGCACCATCGTGGGCGTCGTCTGTATTTGGTTCAGCATCCGTTATAACATGCGCCAGCACTGGCACCTCGGGATCGGCCTGATCACCGGCAGAGGATTCCTTGATCATCTCTACCATCACTATCTCTGCCTCGCTCTCCAGAACTGGTTCCGTGAAAGTCACAAACTCAGTCGACTCCCCCAGATCTGCTGCGGACTCAGCAACAAGTTCTGGCTTCTCAGCGGCAGGCTCAACAGAAATTGCCGTTGTATCGTCAGAGCCCGAGGAATCTTCCATGGCTATACTATCTACCGTTTTCTCCACAGCTGAGTCAACGACGTCAAGCTCGGTGGTTTCAGCAGGCACTGTCTCTTCAGAAGTTTCAGCGAGACCCTCTTCTATGGTCGCTGGGCTGTCGCCGATCATAGCTTCTTGGACAGATGCACATGGCTCATCAACTATACTTTCGGAGTCGTCTGCGGGAGGAGGTATGGCCGGCGACATGGTCTCAACAGCATCTCCATCGATAGCATCCTTTGCCACTGTCTCGTCGGTGGTTGCGTCAGCTAGGGCCAGGTCCTCGACAGGCGGTTCGGCGCTCACCGCTACTTCTTGAACGGCTTCTGGCAACTCGACGGCTATACTATCTGCTTGCTCTACCATGGCGTTGGACTCCTCAGAAGGTGATGTGGAGATGGGCTCTGCGGCAGGCTCAGGATCTGATGAACATGATGATAAGGACTCGGCAACAGTGTCTTGGTCTTGATGCCCTGCTGCTTCTTCCTCGGGGAAAGCAGCTATACTCTCGACTTCAGCAGCGGTTTCTTCGATGTTCTGATCTTCGTCCACGACATCGATAATCTGCATCTCTTCGACTCCGGCGACCTCTATAATACTCTCAGCCGGCGGTGGTGATGGTGCAGGCGGTGGCACATCGATGGCAGCATCCTCTGGAACAGCGACAACCAATGGCGGCGGCGGAGGAGAATCCTCGAACACTTTCATAGCTTTCTCGACGACCTTCCCTCGAGACTTCTTCACCTTGCCTTTGCTCTTTGCGGCAGTCCTGGGTTTGCCTTCTTTGAGAGGAATGATCTCGACTGGCTTGACTTCTTTCGGCTTCTCTGGTTGTCGAGATTTACTGGATTTACTGGAATTCTTCTTGCTGCTGACTTTGGAAGGTTTCATGGGCTCGGCGATGGTGACATGAGGAGCTGGAGGTGGAGGAGGTGGAACGTCGATGATGGCGTCTGGATTGGAAGGAGGGACATCCACGATCACAACTGTGTTGTCAGATATTGTCTCCTCGCCACCGACATGGATGACTATGGTTGCAGGCTCTTCTCGTAAGTCGGTGTTGTCGATAACTTGAACTGCCTCGACAGGCTGATTCTCGATTTCTGTGGCAGGAGGTCGCTGTTCGACTGCCTCAATGGTGGGTTCATCCACGGCGACACTATCTGGCTCGGGCGCTGGAGTGACATCGCTCTGCGGCTCTGGCTCTGAGATTGTCTCGGCATCCTGATCAGCGGGCGATGGCTCGGCAGATGGAGGGACTTCTTCTGCGGTGTCCTTGTCAGGACTGTCCACAGGGGGAAGGTCTTTTGTGGAAGAGTCTTGAGATGGAGAGTCCTCGGAAGGTGGTGTCTCCTTAGGAGGGTCATCTACCGTAAGTGTGTCACCAGCCGGTTCCGGAGCCTCAGCAGCATCCTCTATGATATCTGCTCCAGGAACTGCCTCGTCTTCAGAATCTGCTTTCCCAGTCGCCTCAATTGTCGCTACTGTATCCGCTGTCGGGGTTTCGTCGTTTGGTAGCACAGCAGCAACGGCTGGCTCCTCAGAAGCTTGCTCCTCTGCCAAGGCATGAACAACCTCTATATTTTCCTCCGAAGCCTGAGCATCCGCATCCGCATTCTCTGAGCTGACAGGATCTTCTACCGCAGGCCCAGATTCGAGAGCTTCTTCTTCCGCCGGAGCTGGCGCAGCAGAATCTTGGGAAGCTTCGGGCACCGGGTCTAGCTCTGGTGATGTGGTCGCGGAAATGGCTGCTTCTCCCTCTGAAGAGGGAGCGACTGGGGGTTCCTCAGCGACAGCAGGCTGAGTGTCCGCTTGTATAGGTCCGGAAGGCGGGTCTTCTGATGGCGGTTCAGGGATAGGTTCCTCTTTCGCTGGTTCGGCGGCAGTTTCTTCTGCGACTGGTGTAGCAGAGTCCTCGGGTGAAGGCTCAGCAGGAGGTATATTATTCGTCTTTTCCGTCGGCTCATCTGTGACAATGTGCTGGGTTCCTGCTTTCTCGGCATCTATACTTTCCTCCGCCTTTGTACCAGCTAACCCTCGTTAGTCACTCATCCACCAGATTGGACCTGACGACTTACCATCAGCATCAACATCTTCCACCGCTATCCCGTCGTCCCCACCCTCGGCCTCTCCTTCTCCCTCGTCCTCGCTCTCCTCATTTTCCTCCTCATCCTCTCCAGTCAAAGAATACACCGGAGCCTTGCCCCAAATATTATAGCTATAATGTCTCGGATCAATCGTATACTGCGGCTGTGGCGCCGATGGCCAAGCAGAACTCGGTCTAAACTGTACTTGCCCTTGTCCTCCTTGCACTCCTCCACCTCCAAGACTCGGTGGTGCCCATTGCTGTCTAGGCACAGCAGGATACTGATACACCTGTTGAGGTTGCGGTACAGGCGCTGGATATTGGTATGGTTGAGGACGAGAAGCGGTAGGTTGATGAGCACGTGGTTGAGAAAAATTGGCTACGTTTATGCCTTTGAGGTTATGGCGGGCCAAGATAGATTGGAGGTCGTTGTTGGACATAGTGGGTGTTGGTTAGGTGAAGTTCACATTGAATGGATTTTCGCCAGCAGGGGAAAGCTGATTCCAGTTATATACTCGCGTCGGACGGATGGCGAGGGTGTATATAAAAAATGGCTTTTCGACGCTGGGCTGTTGGCTTGGTCCTTATCTTCGACGAACATGTGAGCCAGTATCCTTGGGCAGACAGGTCGTCGTACGAGTATGACCGGAGTGTTGTGATGGCAGATCCGCGATCTATCTTATTCCCCTCGATCGGAAACGGATTAGTTATCAACCCAGACAAGTAGTTCTGAATTTGAAGTCGCCAGCACACTGCAGTAAGTCCCCTAGCCTATAATCAGTAAAGCATATATAAAAGCGTAGAAGCAAAAAAGAACAAATCTTCCAAGGGCCAAGGGGTCAAAGCTATTAATATCAACCCTACCTACCCGCAAACTTACCTCTGCATACTCGACGACCCGACGGGACAGATCGAATATGCTTGCTGCTGTTTTCGGTATACTCACCTGCATGACACGTCAGGATGTGCTTCCCCAGTTTTTATTGCTCGCGAGCTGCCACGTCGAGGAAAATAGAGCACATGCATGAACCCCCGTCTGTCGTGATACGACAAACCACTTGCAAGGCTACACGTCAAATCCGAAGCAAATACTTGAAGTCAAGAGAGAACCAATTTGTACATCTCTGCTGATTTTAGTGTCGCTTGCAGAGGCCAGCTAGAGCAAAGAGCAAGCACAGGACTCGTGGAACCATGGGAGCCCGAGCGAAGAGCCGCTTTCCGTGGTTGCATGGTTAGGTACATGCACCTCAGGCGTCAATTGGTAACATGGCCGATTCGCTTGACAGAGCCTCGATAGTGATACCGAACACCTCAACTCATATGATTGCATCGTTCTAGACGTGGCATATTGCTGCTCAGTAACACTGCGACGAATTGTGTTCGTGGCAGGCTCTCAGACGCGACCAGCAATCGCAAAGTGCCCGGGCAGTCGTGGGGTGTCGTGATAGGTCGGGCGTCGATGGAACGCATCACGATTGCTTCAAACAGATGTCGAGTAGCACAGTCAATACTCCAGCGAGTCCAGGCTTTTTCCTGTCCCTCGATCAAACACGCCTTCCTCTCGTCCAAGTACCATCAAGGTCAAGAACGGAAGGAAAAAAAAAAAGAAAGACGCGTCGTATTTTCCCATGTCCGTTCTCGACGCGACAAACATCTTCCCCAAATCGTGACAAAGACACATCTTCGTACGCTTTCATCCTAGCGCCGTACCTCTAACAATCAATCAATCAGTCACCGCAGCTATCCAATGGTAAAAGCTGTGGAAGCAATTGGGCATCAACACCTGCAAAATACGTGACGATTTTCCCCAAGCCTATCCGTAGGTGCAGGTGCAGGTGCATATTTAATGCAAATGCAAATGCACACACACGCCCAAAATATGCCGAAATGCACACGGAACGGCGCGGCAACGAGATATCCCGTCCCTCGTGTTGCCATCATGCCTTCCTTCCCCATCTGTTGACAATGCGAGCACGGCATTGATGGCAACGAAAGCCCTGACCCGCGGGCACGAAGCTTGGGCCTCATGCCAGGGTGATAGTTTCAGCAAGCATTTCTGCAATCGATGGCGAGGTTTAGCCGCCACGAAGGGATATCTAGATATCTGAAATGGCAGTATAGTTAGGAACATTTATGAGCTTGAGGAATCAGAAGGGTACAGCGATAGAACTTTATTTGAAGGCGTGAGAGGTGATTTTTATGTTTCGAGAGTGCTTGTTCAGAAAGCCGTGTACAAATCGCGGCAACCGACACCTGCCTTTTAGACTGCAATGCAGTATCACAGAAAAAGGTAGGAAATAAACACATAGCCATGATCAAGACAGCAAAGGAACACCACAGCAGAATAGCCAAAACATCACTAGAAGAAGAAAATGCTATACACGATCCTATCCTCGACATCCCATCCTCACCACGCGAAGCCTTGCCACCTGCCACCACCTAAATCTCAACATCCACAACTCGAACACAACACCGACAAAACCCCATCGTCAATAATGATGGAATACTGAAAAGACGGTAGACTCAAGCTCGTATCAGATCGACTTCTTCCGCTCTCGAAAAAGCGTGCAAGACATTACAGCGTTCCATTATATTGACAATTGGGCAAAAATAGTGTCCGTCACCGCACTGCAGATCTTTGAAACGGGCGTGTGTGCGGACAACTCTCAACCACACACCACGAAAACTCAGAAAGAGGTCGCGGTTTGGCACTTTGGCTCTCTCTCCCATCTTGCCCATTTGTGCACTCCACACATCGAGTACTCGCATCTGATGAGATAATTTGGAATAAACATAATCTGGTATTTTTGGAGTCGCTCCGAGAGCAGACTTCAAGACTGAGATAATAGATAGGATAGAGAAAAGATGATGACAAAGGGAGCTCTTTTTCTCCCCCTCGAACAGCAAACACAGAAACGCCACTTTCCTCAAGGGTATTCACAACCCTGATGGTATCCTGCCCCCATTTGAATAAAACCCAAGGAAAGAAGAAAGAACAAGAAATCGCACAGGTCAAGCCTGGATGCTGAAGAAGATAGAAGAAGTGGTGCCAGATGCACTTTGCAGTGTCATCGGACCGCTTCTTTCAGGTGGAGGATTTGAGTCTTTGGAAAATGGTTGTGTTGATACAATGTTCGACTTTCTTTTCCATGAAAGCCGCCTGCAACAGGATTTGGGAAGACAGAAGATATGATGAGCAATGGAAATAAAGAGGTTAAAAAGAGAAAAGTCATGACCCGCAATAATTCAATGTACTGCTGCCTTTATTCATAGCCGGCGCCGCGTTGCCACGGGCTCGCTCTGCCTGTTGGTTGTTGTGGTGAGCGTGCCGGACTCGGGCTGTGGTGGCTGCGAACATCAGGCGTCGAGAAACCATGCTTCTCATCGAGATACATGGGAGGGTTGTGCCTTGGCAGACCATCGTTGGCAGGGAAGCTCGAGATGCTAGGGTCGTGAGGAGAACGAGGAATCTCGCCGTATCTACCGGCCATGGAGGAGCTGTTGCCGCCGACGCGAGGCTCGGAGGTGGAACTACCAGACCAGCCGTCCTCATCGTCTTCAATGCGAGCACCCTTCCATCCGCCCTTGCCTTCACCACGAGCAGTAGCACCCAGTGCGTCGAGCTCAGTGTTGAGTTGAGTCTGCGACTTGATGAAGGAGCCACGGTCGTCGCGCATGGGCTGGTATCTGGTGTCGGGGTTCTTTGAGAAGATGGCGAATGCCGAAGCAACAAGGATGGAAATGAGAAGACCAAGAGAGAAAATGGCGTTGAAGACAAAGAAGAGAATGCCCATAACACCATTGACCAGACCAGGGAGGGAGAAGATGCCGGTGAAGAAGAGCAGGAAGATGGAGTTGAGGAAGTTGAAGAAGCAGATGGCAATGTTGAAAGCGTTGGTCTTCTTGTCCATGTATGGGGTGAGAACACAGACAATAATGAAGAAGACGCCCTCAATGATGAGGAAAGCGATAGCCTGGAGAGTACCGCTTCCTTGGCCGAGGGCGACGAACATACCCTTGAGAAGGAGGTAGCCCAACACGGGGACGATGAAGTAGTAGGCAGTGGCCTTGAACTGGACGTAAAGGAAGCCCCACTTGTTAAGCGAGACGGGGTCGGAGTAGAGGATGTAAGCGGGGTTCTTGTGCATCGAGACTGAGCGACGAGCAAGACGGATAACCTTGGAAGAAGCCCAGGCGAGTATGCCGATCATGGTGAAGACGGTGAAGACAGCAAGAACGACCTCAGCAGCCGAATCACGCTTGGTGAATTCCCAGAAGCAGAGGACGACCATTTGAGGGAAACCGATAAGAACCAGACGGAAGAGGATACCCTTGAGAACGGTGGTCCAGCCATTACGGAAGTCCTGGAATTTGTCGCCCTTCATCTTACCCATCTTGACGAGGCCTTCGCAGATGAACTTGAAGATCACAACGCCGAGAACGACAAAAACGACGAAAATGAGGAGGAAGATGTAACCAGTCAGGAAGATGTTGGTCAACTCAATCTTGGAGCGGAAGCCGACACGTTCGATACCACGAAGAATGACAGTCTTGGTCGAGGCGTCGGTGGCTTCGGCTCTGGGAAGAAGCTGGTGAAGCTTCATGGCGCCACGAGCGAGAAGACGCTCAGCAACGTGGACGGAACGCTTCTGGACTTCAATTGACTCGGTCGACAACTCAGACATGACAGTGCTGGGAGTGCCTCCAGTAGAGCGCTGGTACCAGGTAGCGATGTCTTGAATAAAGCCGACGCGAATGATACCCATGCTCCACTGGAAGTTCTGAGTCCATGAGGCGACAATTGGCGGAAGAGGGACGGCAGTCATACCGACAAGAGACTGAGCCTGGAAGTAACCGAAGAGGGCAAGAGTGTTGGCGGCGACATGGGCAGCAGTGTTGGAGTGTCCAAGACCGGATGTTATCGCAGAGGTGAACAGAGCAAGGCCGGCGATGACGGCGACAGTCCATGAGACAGCCTTCTGGTCGACAGTCTTGCCGTTTGTAAGTTCGGCTTGCACGCAGGCAGTGGCTCTACCAGTGTCGGTGCTGTTGACGTAAACTTGTACCTTGGCGTCAAGGTCAGGAACAGTGTAAGCGATACCTGGAGTATGTTAGTTGACGAGTCGAGTTAGACATTTGCGAGGCTTCATACCAGGAATCTGGCTGACTGAGTCGGCGGGCAGCACAATGTTGGAGTCGAGATCGATCTGACCCTCGTTCATGGGGCAGAGACCGGCCCATCCTTCCTCACAGGGGTCGAGTGTTTTCTTAAAGATGGACAAGCCATAAGCGCTGACGACCAAGTCGATAGTGACGTTGCCGGTGACGGTGGTGACACCGACGACATTGAAGGTAAGAGTGCGATTGTCGGGGGTGAAGGCGACGTTGAACAGACTGGCTGAGAAGTTGGAGTTTGACATGCAAGTGCTGAGCGACGACGACGAGATTACGCGCTCACTGTTGATGCCAGAAGCCTGGATCGTAGGGATGAGAGCAGCGAAGAGGGCTATTAGGAAGCCTAGGGGCGACCGTGAAGGACGCATGGTGGGCGAACAATAGAAAATACCAATTAATAAATGCTCCGGGCGGTGCTAGTGCTGGAGGAGCAGATGAAGCTGTTGTTGATGCCTGCAGTCGAGGTGGAGGATGTCGCAATTCAAAGCGGCGAGGGCGAGAGCGAGAACGAGCGGGGAGGCGACAAGACGTGCGTGTGTGTCGGTGTGTGATGGCAAAAAGGTGGTTGGAATGTAAATGCGGACGGCAGGGCTCTTTGGCCTTGAACCTTGGTAAAACCGGGACGGCGTGGAAAGTCAAGTCTTGACGTCTGGTAGACCGAGCGAGTGACGGTGTGAATCGTGTGATGGGAAAAGGGCTGGAGGGAAGGCGCGCGCGGGGGCTGGAAATGGGGAAAATGGAAGGGCAAGAGTTGGAGAAGTAGGAAAGAACTGGGAAGTGATGCGTTGCAGTGCAGCGGCGACGGGCGGTTCGTGATGGATGGGCAACGATCCGTCGGAGCAGGAGCAGAGGAATCCTCGCAGAAGGGCGAGAAACACGACACTCAACACTGCCAAAAGGCCGTCGAAAGCGGAAGACGTGCGTGACCGTCCGAACAAGCGCAGATTAGCGCCAAAGCCACGCCAGCTGATGTCAACGAGCCAAAGATCTTTCCTTTTTCCGTCTGCAACGAATGACTCTGCCAGCAAATCACAAATCAATTCCCTGCTGCAACAAGGCGACACCAGAAACGAAACTGTGGAAGGAGTGGATGGGTTTTCTCTTTGTTGTATCAGCCTGTGGCCTGCGTCGAGTGATGTTTTACACAGATGGCCCAGCGCTAAGGGGGCTGTGCAGCTTGTTTTCACGCAATTATCCCACACGACTCTTCTCGTTCCCTTCAGGGGTCTTGTCCTGAGACGACGCTCCAATCCACTCTTCCCGTTTGGCGATCAGTGCGCCACCAGACTGCTGTTTATTACGCGGCACCGAGAAGCTGGGGAAACCATGTGAAACGCTGCTGGGCCCTGCGCTGATGCTGCTCTTCGTCCATCGCAATACCTCTCTCCTCATCGCCTTGCACTCAAGCATGGATACGGCCTTGTACGCACAGAGATTCAGTTCACCGCAGAGTTTCAGCCATAGTCACTCGACATCCGCAGCACGCCGGTTCGTAAAGCCACCGCATCATTCGAGAACCTGATTGTTAAACAAACCCCGTGCGTCCTCAAAATAGACAACGGGCTTGCAGTCCCGGGAACGGCCATTGTACAGCGACAGCACTGCTTAAAAGTCTCCTTGAGCTCTCCTTCATTGTAAGATTTCCTTTCCCCTTTGCAATCCAGTTCGACCGTTGCTTCACCTGTCCGACATGACAACATCATTTCCCGTCATTCTCTCGAACATGACCGAAAGATCAACAGCGGAGTTGTCGCGTCGTATCTCGATCTGGGCCGCCAAGCTCCATAATACGGATTGGGATCTCCTTGGCCGGCCTCAGCGTATTTGCATACGGATGCCAACATGTAGCTGCGCCGACCTTGGTATAGGAACGGAATGAATACAAAGGTCTTGGATGATTGGCACGCATCTTGCATTCATTTGTCCGAGGTGAGTGGTAAGCGGTGTTGCTTCAACAGCAGCATCTGCTTGTACCGAACAAGGCGTGCCGAAGTAGGTTCGCGATGATGCCGAGCTGCCTTATCCCTCGTCGCAGTACGCGGCCTCACGTAAGACTATATACAACTATCGAAGGCTGGTAAGTGTCTGCTATTGATGTTGCGCAGGCGACATGAAAGCGTTTGTTGTCGCGGCCTGAATCTAAGGTAATCTACCCAGCAACGGGCAGTTTGCCGTTGGACCACAAGAACAAAATTGCCAACTGCTTCCAGGAGAGAGTCTTTCGCACGACGTCTAGACACGAGTATCACCATGCAGTGATGTTGGAAAAGGAGGAAGAATGATTGTTGCAAGCGAGAATCGTATGTCAGAACAAATCCTTTCATTCCGTGATTCTTCGTGTTCGGAGATTGACAAAGCGGTACTCGGCTTCGAGTGGAGAGAGGGGTTCGGTGTGGGCCTACATTCACATACGCTGTTATACGATGGAATGTGAAGGTTTGTGATATGTGTCCAGGCGATACAGCACGAGTCGTCATATCCAGCCAATCTACCTGCGACGGATACTGTATGATTGATAGCTGATCAAGATGTGAAGGGTCCTAGGCTCTGATGGAGGACAAAACCTCATCACGTGCAGATAAGATAATCTAGCCTTGGCATGGTGAGCGCGATAACCTTAATTTTTTTGTTCGAAGATCTGCCAGCCAAACTCTGCTGGCCGTCGACTTTTTGCTCGCGTTACCATTTGACTGTAATCAACCCACGCGCACAACATGTCGAATCCGGATCTCGCATCGAAGAAGAGAAAGAGAAAGCACGGTGCTGCCAAACCTGCCGATGCGCCTGCCCCCGTCGTCGCCGAAGAGGAAGTCGCCGCCGCCCCGTTTGCTGAAGTGAAGCCGCGCAAGAAGAGCAAGACTGCCGAAGCAAGAGCAAAGGATGTGGAGAAGGAGGAGGAAGTGAACGAGAAGCTGCGCGAGGTTGCCGCAGAGTCAACAGTCGCAGAAGTCAGCGCGGATGCGGCCGCTGAAGTCTCGGACGAGGAAGAGGCAGACGAGGCCATGGAGGATGCAGAGCAGGATTTGCAGGATATTGGCGAGCCCTCAGACTTGCCCTCAGCGCTTGGAGTCTCGCTTCCCGGACAGGATGCTCTGCCCGAAAAGTTCACCGACATCAACCTCTCGGACAAGACACTCAAGGCGCTCCAGGACATGAAGTTTGAGAACATGACCGAGATTCAAGCAAGAGGTATCCCTCCTCTTCTCGCCGGAAAGGATGTTCTGGGAGCTGCAAAGACTGGTTCAGGAAAGACTCTGGCCTTCTTGATCCCCGCCATCGAGATGCTGCACTCGCTCAAGTTCAAGCCCAGAAACGGTAAGCATGCGCCTGTCATTTTGATCTCCGGAAATCGTACTGATATGCTCTCACAGGAACCGGTGTTATTGTCGTCTCTCCCACCCGTGAACTCGCCCTCCAAATCTTCGGTGTCGCCCGTGAACTCATGGCTCACCACTCGCAAACTTTCGGTATCGTCATTGGAGGTGCCAACCGCCGCGCCGAGGCCGAGAAGCTGGTCAAGGGTGTCAACCTGCTCATCGCTACTCCCGGACGTCTCCTCGATCACTTGCAAAACACACAGGGCTTTGTCTACAAGAACATCAAGGCTTTGATTATCGATGAAGCCGACCGTATTCTCGAAGTCGGTTTCGAAGATGAAATGCGCCAGATCATCAAGATTCTGCCCAAGGACGAGAGACAGACTATGCTCTTCTCTGCCACACAAACAACAAAGGTCGAGGATCTTGCAAGAATTTCGCTGCGACCTGGACCTCTCTACATCAACGTCGACCACAGGAAAGAGCACAGTACCGTCGAGGGTCTGGAGCAGGGCTTCATCGTCTGCCAACCCGACATGCGTTTCCGCCTGCTATTCACTTTCCTGAAGAAGCACCCCAAGAAGAAGATCATCGTCTTCTTCTCGTCGTGTAACTGTGTCAAGTACTACGCCGAACTCCTCAACTACATCGATCTGCCCGTTCTGGACTTGCACGGCAAGCAAAAGCAACAGAAGCGTACAAACACTTTCTTCGAATTCTGCAACGCCAAGCAGGGAACTTTGATCTGTACCGATGTTGCTGCCCGTGGTCTCGATATTCCCGCAGTCGACTGGATTGTTCAGTTCGACCCTCCGGATGACCCAAGAGACTACATTCACCGTGTCGGTCGTACTGCCAGAGGCGCCAACACCAAGGGTAAGAGTCTGATGTTCTTGCAACCCAACGAGGTCGGTTTCTTGAAGCACCTCGAGGAGGCTCGTGTGCCTTTGACCGAGTTCGAGATGCCCGAGAAGAAGGTTCTCAACATTCAGAGCCAGCTGGAGATGTTGATTGGCAAGAACTACTACTTGAACAAGGTAAGATCGCTTAACTCACCACCCGATATATGCAATGCTAACAAATGCTTCACAGTCGGCAAAGGATGGTTACCGCTCATATCTCCAAGCCTACGCTTCCCACTCTCTGCGCTCAGTCTTCAACGTCAACGAATTGGATCTGGTCAAGGTGGCCAAGAGCTTCGGCTTCAACACACCGCCGCGCGTGGACATGCAGCTCGGCTCTAGCATGAAGATGGACAAGAAGCAAGGTGCTCGTCGCGCATACGGCAGTCAACCAAGACAAGGTGGAAACTACAAGCGCCAACGCCAGGATTAAAGCGTATCTGAATATTCTCGAGAGAAGAGAATATGTTTTCTGTGTTGCATTTTCTACATACGACTTTTTTTTTTTATGGTAGCGGGCGTTTGAAAAGTGTGCTTGTACAAGTTTAATCAATCTTGTTCATTTTTCTGGAAGCTTTTCTCGATCGTTCGTCGCTTGGTGACGTTGTCACCGAATTTGTTGCTAACCAGCGGACGATTGGAATGCTTTGCGAAGGAGGCAACGAACGAATGGGTCCATGTGTATAATTTCGCACCATGCATTGACTTTTTGGATGTATCGAGGCTCATCTAATGGAATGTTCTTTTTAATATAGGATAGAAGAGCCCTAAATAAGGTGATTCTAGCTTTTAGAAGAATTGAGACAGGGTGACGAGTTCGGCAAGTTGCGGCCAAGGCTGCGGAGATGATGGCGTCGCGGGTTGAGGGGGGATGGGAGAGTTTCATGATTTCCATATCGAGATTAAACGAGCAGGTACTCTCGACTTTTGGTGAAGCTTCTCTCTGTCGCTCCTTCCCTTCACCATCCGACGACAGTAACTTCCATTCCAGCCCAGTTATACGCTTCTTCTCCGTCAGCCGCATCGCCCAGTCCCAGTCGGCAGCCAACCTCTCTCCTTTCCAACTTTCCCAGCATCCCCGAAACACCGACTCGACTCGCGTGCCCGTTAGCACAATTTCTACACCCTACAACCTTTAGTATTGTAATATGAACTGAGCAAAAACACCGAGAGAATCTACAGAGACCGAAAAGATGCAGATGGTGGCAGAAGAAGAGACTCCGAGGTCCTTGTCGCCAATGACGCGACCTCGATTCGGAGAAGGCGCCAGCAGTCAACCTTCATCCCCTCTGAGGACTACCTTCACACCCGAGGTACCTACTCCGGCGCAAACCACCCTATCGCAAGAGCTACTCCGACCGCCAACTGCCGTTTCTGTCCACTTCGGTCCCCCGACTCCAGCCGACTTCAATCTGCCGTCTACCAAGAGCTTCAACAATGGCTCTGCCCCACGCTCTGTCTCAGCTACCAGTCTCCGTCCACGGCCATTCGTCTTGCGCCATGATTCCGACCCAACACTACGTACAGTGTCTCGCAGTAGGGATGTGAGTGGAGGAAGCGGTACACAGACCCCACCAGAAAGACGACTAGGAGAAGATCAGCTTGATGCAGGAGACGAACATGGCCGTCAAGGTTCTTTCTTTGCACGTCTGAAGGCCATGGCTACACCCACACACTCGCGTCATCCAAGCGAGTTCACCAATGCTTCGGTACTCATGACTCCTACGGAAGAGTTGGACGAGCCGTCTTTTCCTTTCTACGGGCCATCGCATCAACCACAGTCGCATCACGATGGCAGTGAAGCCGAGGGTGACATTGAAGACTCGATGGATGAACTTGCCGAGGGCCAGGAGACTCGTCCAAAGCGCAAGTCTAGGAGGAAGATGGAGAAGACTGTATCCGCCGGCCCTTCGACTCCGCGCACACCACGCTTCCCGTCTTTTTTGCGCGATCATGCAGACCAATCTCCACGCTTGCCACGTAGGGCTACCATGACAGACATTCCCGAAAATTCTCGAGTAGGCGTCAGCGAGGACGAAGGCCGCGACCGTCTTGCGAAAAGCGCTTGGAGACGTGGTCTCGAAGGCGCGAGAGGTCTCAGTTACGCTCACCGCAGCAGCAGACCCACCAATGACGCCGCAGAGCAGTCTGACTCCAACCGCCCGACCACTGCCAGGAGGTTCACTGGATTTGCTGGCCTTGACGGCGCAGCCTCACCATGGAGAGGTCGTGGAGAACGCCAGCAAAGTACTAGTGCTCAAAAATGGAAACAGGTCAAGGCTGGTCTGAAGCTACTGGGCCAACGCAAAAAGGACGAGCGAGTCAAGGTTGATCACCAAAAGTCAACAGAGCTTATGGCTGAGCTGCTAGCCGGTTCGCCTGCTGCAATCTTCCTGGCTAGTATGTATCAACGCGACGAGCACGGGCGTCGCAAGATTCCTGTCCTGCTGGAACAACTTAAGATCACCATTCCTTCAAGCCAGAATCGCGAGAGCAAGTCTGGCGATCGTCATATGGTCTTTACCATCAATCTTGAGTATGGTAGTGGTCCGTCACGCATGTCTTGGACTATCCACCGCTCTCTTCGCGACTTCAGTAATCTGCATCTCAAGTACAAGTTTCAAAGTCAGTCGGAACGCTACTCGATACTCAAGACCGAAGATCGGTCGAAAGCGAAGATTCCGCGCTTTCCCAGGAGTACCTTCCCTTACCTTCGTGGTGTCAGAGGCTTGGCCGATGACGATGAAGACGAGGATGAGAACGCCATTGCCGAAGGAAGCGGTGCTGAGGGTGAGGCTAGTGGAACCGAAAGACCCGGTATGAAGAAGCGACGTAGAACGTCCTTTGCTCTTTCTAGAAGAAAGTCCAGTACTGGTCATGTGTCTGGCCCTGACGGAGTGACCGGTGAAGCCGGTAGAGCCGGCAGCATCGCAGGCGGAGGTGCCAAAGCCAAAGACCTTTACAGCGAACGTCAACGCAGAAAGCTCGAATATTACCTTCAGCAGATGATCAGGTGGTTGGTGTTTCGCCCTGACAGTACGAGGTTGTGTAAATTCCTCGAGCTGTCAGCTTTGTCCTTGCGCTTGTCGGTCGAAGGAGGCTACCATGGTAAGGAGGGTCTGATGTCCATTATCTCCAAGTCCGACATCCGCAGGAGGCCTGTCACTGGATCAGTTACGGCCTTCATGAGAAACGCAGAGCCCAAATGGATCATGATCCGTCACAGTTACATCGTCGCCTTGGATAGTCCCGAGTCGCTTGAACCACGTGAGGTCTTCCTTGTCGACGGCGGATTCACCACCAACAAGGTCAGCAAGAAGCGCTTGAGGGATCAAACCGCGGAAGAGCTGGCCAAGACAGCTGGAAACGCCACTCAGCCGAAACATCACATCCTTCGAGTCTGGAATTTAGAGAGAAAGCTGAAGTTGTTGGCGAAGAATGAACGCCAGCTTATGCAGTTTCAAGAATCGATCGACTACATGGTACGAAACACGGTCTGGTCGCTGAAGCATCGTTTCGACAGTTTTGCCCCAGTCCGTAAGAACGTCTTCGCTCGCTGGCTTGTCGACGGAAGAGATCACATGTGGCAGGTTTCGAGAGCCATCGACAATGCCAGAAGCTTCGTATACATTCACGACTGGTGGTTGAGTCCCGAATTGTATCTGCGCAGACCTGCCGCCATCAGTCAGAAGTGGCGTCTCGACCGCCTGCTACTGCGCAAGGCCCAAGAAGGTGTCAAGATCTTTGTCATCGTCTACCGCAACATCGAGTCCGCCATCCCCATCGACTCCGAGTACACCAAGGCTTCCCTTCTCGATCTCCACCCCAACATCTGTGTACAGCGTTCGCCCAACCAGTTCAGACAGAATCAGTTCTTCTGGGCCCACCATGAAAAGCTTGTCGTCGTTGACAATGCCATGGCCTTTGTAGGCGGTGTGGATTTGTGTTTTGGTCGGTGGGACGATCCGCATCATTCGCTGACCGACGACAAGCTGACTGGCTTCGAATTGGATATGGAAGGTCCCAGGACTGCTGACAATTGTCAAGTGTGGCCTGGCAAGGATTATTCCAACCCCAGAGTGCAGGACTTCTATGCCTTGGACCGCCCATACGAAGAGATGTACGACCGTACCAAGGTGCCTCGTATGCCCTGGCACGATATTGCTATGACTATTGTTGGTCAGCCTGCCAGAGACGTGGCTCGTCACTTTGTGCAGCGATGGAACTACATCCTCAGACAGCGTGTGCCGTCTCGTCCTACACCCATCCTTCTTCCTCCACCCGAGTTTGACCAGAGCGAACTCGAAAGACTCGGTATGACCGGTACCTGCCAAATCCAGATCCTCCGCTCTTGCACCGCCTGGTCCATTGGCACTACGGAAACAACGGAATGCAGTATCATGAACGCTTACGTCTACCTGATCACCAACTCAGAGCACTTTGTGTATATTGAGAACCAGTTCTTCATCACTAGTTGTACTGTTGAAGGCTCACAGATCATCAACAAGATCGGTGACGCTCTTGTCGAGAGGATTATGCTTGCTCATCAGAGAGGTGACAAGTGGCGAGCATGTCTCATCATTCCTCTTATGCCTGGTTTCCAGAACCAGGTCGATTCGCAAGACGGAACCAGTGTTCGTTTGATCATGCAGTGCCAGTATCGTAGTATCTGCCGAGGCGAGTCGTCAATCTTCGGTAGACTGCGTGCCCAGGGTATCGACCCTACTCAGTACATCGAATTCTACGCCCTCAGACAATGGGGCAAGATTGGTCCTCGCAAGTGTTTGACTACTGAACAGCTCTACATCCACGCCAAATGTATGGTTGTTGATGATCGCAGTGTCATTATTGGTTCCGCCAACATCAACGAGCGCTCCATGTTGGGCACAAGAGATTCCGAGGTGGCAGCTATCGTCACTGACCAGGAAATGATCCCTTCGGTGATGGGAGGCAAGCCTTATGATGTCGGCACGTTCCCCCACACGCTTCGTATGCGCCTCATGCGTGAACACTTGGGCATTGATGTCGACGAGATTTACCGTCGCGAGTGTGAAGCTGAGAAGGCGTTCCAGGATGAAGAGATGGAGCGCATTTACAGAGATGACTTCATCACCCCTCCTGAAACTCCTACAGCCCACGGCTTGACAGAGGAGAACTTGAGCCAGAATAGTGAACCAGACGGTAAGGCCGGTGTGTTGCACAACTTCCTCAACGAGACCAACAGCGTCCAGCCTAGCCAAGTGGACGGGGCTGGTGGAAAGAAGCAATCGATGGACAGAACGCACGATCTTGACGTTGCTGGCTTTGGCACCGATAACATGAAGAACCTTGAGGGAGTGGCCGACATGTCTGCAAGAGATACTTACATCACCAGCCATGGCAAAGAGGTGCTTAAAAGTAGTCACCTACTTGACTCCGCTGCACGCCCCAGATCTTCCTCGCTGAGAAAGGACATGATACATCAACACCACCAGCATCATCCTCACAACGCTGCCGAAGCTGGCCACTTGCTTCCTCCAAAGATGCCGCCTCGTATGAATACTCGTGAGCTTGGACTTACGCAATTGTCTCAACTTCCTCCTCTGCCTGTCCTTGATGATTCAGACATAGGAGGTCCGTCATTACTCAAGGAAGTCACCTCTGAGAATGCGCATATTATCAATCCGCTGCTGAAATCCATGACGCATCCTGTAGTCGACGAAGACTGCATGCGCGATCCACTGGCTAACGACTTTTACAAAAAGATCTGGCATCAGGTTGCTGAGAACAACACTCGCATCTACCGCCAAGTCTTCCGCTGCATGCCCGATTCCGATGTCCAGTCATGGCGTGAGTACCGCGAATTCAATGCATACAACGAAAAGTTCATGCTGTCGCAAGGAATGGGTACCAGTGCGCCACTTGCCAAGGAATCGAAAGATGCCCCTGATACTAGTGGTCCTCCTGGTTCTGGCGGCGCTGATACCCTTTCCTCCGCCGCGGCACTCTCTGAGCGTGCTAGCAAACACGCCAGTAACAGATTAAGCGGCTTGAGCAAGAAGCTCTTTGGTGGTGGTCGTCCCAGCACTTCACATTCTAACGTTACCGCTGCCAATGACGATATGTCCGAGAAACAAGCAATAGAAGGGGGTCCTCGTGCTTCCGACTCAGCTCTCACAACAAATCCTGACGACCAAGCCGGCGAAGAACAACTCGACGAGAAGGTGGCTCTAGCCCAACGTAACGACAACGCCAACACTGAAGCTACCCTCGCGGCACCTCCTCTCGATGGCGCCGCTGCAACCCCCAGCACCACCGCCAATGGAACCATTCCTCGCATCATGAAGGCCCGCACTATCCAATTCCCAGAAATGACCGAGAAGGAAAAGAACATGAACTTCGAGCCTGGACAAGTTCAGCATGCTGCCACCACTGGCACTACTACAAGCAACACAAACAACATACAGCACAGCACTTCCACTAAGCGTAGACGCAATAGAGCCAACACCAAGGGAAGCATGAAGACTGCTGCCTTCGTTGAAGATGTGTTGACAAAGGAGGAGGCTGAGGGTTTGTTGAAGTTGGTGCAGGGCCATTTGGTCACTTGGCCTTATGACTGGTGAGTCTTACTGATATGATGATATGTGGACATGATGCTAATACGAATGACAGGCTTGAGAGAGAAGAAAAGGGCGGCAACTGGCTTTACAACATCGATCAAATTGCTCCTTTGGAAATTTAGTAAGTTCATATGATAGCGATTGGGAAGAAGAGCGTGTACTGACTGCCATCTCTAGCGATTGAGCGAACTGCTCGATGTCCCGACCGCTGTCTTGACGGCCCCGAGCCGACTTCAGCCTTTTCGACTCGACCATTCCGAGTTCGACTTTTCCTTTGACTTGACCCCATCAACTCGTCACACTACAACTCTTTTCTTTCTTTGTTCACCATACACCAGAAGACATCCATTTTCCGCATTCGGCTTTACAGCGGCATTCAGTTCGGCGTTGTCTTTCTTTCTTTCTACTTGCATTTTTTTGTGCGTTTTGGAAAAGGAAAGAGGTTTTTTTTCTTGTTGTACATTACTGGAATAGTTCATTTCTGGAAACAGAGGGAGAGGTGTATACATTATGTTTTGATTTGTGTGTTTTTGACCAATGTTTTCTTGTGCGTGCTATAGCGACTTCAGTAAATCGCTCGGGTGCTGCCATACTCGTCGGTGACTGCCTTGCCTCGTTCGTGTCCTCGAGGAATGTCTTCTCCGCCTCGCCGTTGTCATAGATCACCTTTTTGGGCCTTTGCGGGCTGATTTCTTCGAGGCGAGCTCACTCTATGAAAAGTGGCAAGTTAAAAGTCATACAGCAGAGTCGTCTTTCCTCATTTGCATATGAATATGGCAGAGCTCTGAGCGCTGAAACTAAATAATCCTTCCAATCCCTCGATCAAAGCTTCTCTCCAGACAACGACTTCAGAGAGATTCGAAGAAGTTGTGATTTGTCGAGAGAAAGGGCAAGGACAACGCGCTTGCAAGTGTCTTCTATGAAGTCGATGAGTCAGCGATCATTTGTACCATGCAGTCATTTCGACCAGCTGAGCAAGTTTGAGCAGCTTACTGAGGATTTCCAACACCCATATCGTTCCGAAAGTAAAGCTTGATAAGAGCAATGCTGCTGATCGTCAAAGGTGGCACGATTTGCTATTGTGGCACACATCCTATCGCCCCATGAGTGGTCTTGTGCTATTTGGACACGTCTCGAACAAGGCGAAAGGAAAAAGAGGTAGAAAGCTCATATCTCTAGGAGACAGTAACAATGGAAAACAATTACGAGACATTCATGGCATTAAGATCACCAGCAGCGATGACCTGTATACGATAGTACTTGCAATTGGTACCTAACAGAAAAACTGAACCAGAGACTTGGATTTTCGAGAATAGCTCAGTAGAAGCTCGAAAAGAGGCAATAATTGCCAACGGCGAACTGAGGAGCACTCAAGACAGGCACCTTCTCGATGTTGATGCGTCCTGGTCTGAACTGCATTTCGCCTTTGATCGAGCGCTCCAAGACCTTTACCCTTCCCTCCAGCACACCATCCCTTTCCTTCACCACCATCACCTCCTCCTCCAACTCCTTGACCCTCTCCTGCAACTCCCTCTTCTCCACCTTCAACTCCTCGACTTCCATCTGGAGTCCCTCACAGATGCCCTCCAGGTACTCCCCTCCCGAAGCACACCTCTCCACTCTCTTCTTCATCTCCTTGAGCTGGAGCGCATGACTGTTGGCTCTGACCTCCAGCTTTTTCGTCTCGACAGATTGGTCGTTCATGCCGTTCTCCACAACTCTCATGGTTTGCTGCAGGCGGAGCTTGCGATCCTTGTTCACATGGCGCTGCTCGCGGAAGTTTTTGCCCGTGTGAGCTTCGTGGACCTCATTGAGGTGGGTTTGATGAGCGAGAGAGGTCTCGAGGGCTGTGACACGAGAGAGGAGGTCGGCAATCTCGGGGGTAGGGGCGAGAGGGATGGTAGAGTCGTGCATGGCGACGGAAGGGGTGGTGATGTTTTGCTGCAGGGTTTGAGAGTGCGCAGAGGCGACGCGGATGGCGTGGTCTGCCTTGAGGAGCTCGACAGGGGTGAGAGCGGTTTTGTTGATGTCGTCCATCGCGTTGATAGAATCGATGTTGTGGGAAGAGTTTTTACGCAAAGCGAAATCAAAGTCGAGGCAGAGGGTTGCGAGGACGAAAGCCAAGGTGGAAACCCGGGGGTGTGAAGGTGTTGTGAAAGTGATGGACAATGGGAGCATTTCACTCGTCAAACGTGTTGCGGATACGCTTGTCAAAATGCAGCAACTCATCACACCGACCTGCCTTGTCCACTGAGAGAGGTCATGGCTCTGCCTCCCTTTGGACAACCGAAGTAAACACAACACGATCTTGCATTTTGACAAGCATGTTCTGCACGCTGGTCGGCACGGGAGATCAAGGTTTACGAGGAGGATGGGAGATTTTGCATGATGTGTTCAAGAAGTGATTTGAGATTCTATGTGGGTATTAGGTCAAGCACCAGTCTATTATATGAACGCCTCGCTGTCCCAGCAAGAAAACAAAGAAAAGATGAAACGAAAGCTTTTACTCAGCCTTCTTGGACGCCTTGGTCCTCAGCTTCATGAGTGCGAACACAAGAGCGTAACCGGAAAGAGCAAAGATGACACAGATGGCAGCATCTCTCCAGCCGTAGTAGTAGTCCTTCAGGTTGAGAGTAGCGAGGTAGTCGCTACCACGGGTGTATTGGCACACATGGCAGTCGGCAGTGGCATCAGGGTTGATGAGGTTTGATGCGGCACCCATGCCTTGAAGGTAGTTACCAAGGTACTGTGCGCAGGTCTGACCCGAAGGAGGGTTGAAGATGGCGAATTCAGACTGTTTGCAGTGAACCTCCTGATCGAAGGTGGTGAAGACAAGGAGCGAACCCATGAGGTAGTTGAAAGGGTTGAGGTAGTACAGCCAGTAACGCCAGAAAGGCTGGATCTGATTGTAGGGTACCAAAACACCACAGAAAGAGACGAGAGTTCCGATAATGAGAGGGTTGACAAGAGAGGCAAAGACAGCGTTGGGTGCGTACGCAGCAACAAACTGACCGATACCGGTGTAGATGAATTGGTAGACCAACATGACGAAGAAGACCGAACCAGCAGACGACGACTCTGAGGGGAAGCCGACAGTGTAGTAGAAGCAGACGAAGTAAAAGGTAGCACAGAGAACCAGGTAGGGGATCTCAGAAACGATGAGACCGGTGGTGAAGGCTTTCCAGTCGTACATTTTCGACTTCTTCTCACGAGTTTCGTAGACGTCACGACGCTCAATGAACAGAGGTTGCAACTGTGCGATGACACCGGGAGCAACGAAGATATAATTGAAGATAGCGAAGAGGTTGAGCTGAAGGTCAGCGACTCCGTTGCCGATCATCCAGAAGGTGAAACCCATGAACAAAGCAGTACCGATGTGCAGCATGATTTTGTTCATGATGTAGTCGGTGTTGCGGTAGATTGAGATGTTCATGCGGTTGCTGACGAGTCTAGTCTGAGTCCAAAGAGAAGTGGCGAATTCGTAGCCGTCGTCCTTGGTGCCTGGGGGCTTGCCGGCGGCGTCTTGGATCATGGCGTCGAGCTCTTCGTGCATCTTCTTGTTCTCAGGAGAGTCGAGCCAGACCTGGTGCCAGTCCTTACCCTTGGAGAGGGAACCAGAGCAGACATCAATCATGTGCTCAGCAGGGTTGCTGGAAGGAGGGCAGGCAGCATCGTGACGGCCGAAGTATTCCTTGATGGTGTTGGCACCGTCACCGATGTCGCCGAAATACACAGTCTTGCCACCACGAGTGAGGAGAAGGAGGGTGTCGAACTCGGCGAAGAGTTGAGCAGAAGGCTGATGAATAGTGACGAGGACAGCTTGACCAACATCGGCGAGCTTGCGGAGGAAACGCACGGTGTTGAAAGCAGCCTGACCATCAAGACCGGAAGTAGGCTCGTCGAGGAAGATCAGAATAGAAGGCTTAGACACGAGCTCAACACCAATGGTGACACGCTTTCTTTGTTCGATGGACAAACCAGCACCAGGCTTGCCGATAAGAGTGTGCTCGATGTCGTGCAACTCAAGGAGATCGATGATAGTGTCGACGTAAGCAAGCTTTTCCGAATCAGGAGTATCACGGCTTTGACGAAGGAGAGCAGAGAACTCAAGAGCCTCTCTGACAGTGGTCAATGGCTCGTGAACATCAAGTTGCTCGCAGTAACCGGCGGAACGTTGGAAAGAAACCGAGAGAGGGCGACCGTCGACGAGAATCTCACCCTTGATCGTACCGTCAGTCTTACGCTGGGCCAGAACATCGAGGAGGGTGGTCTTTCCGGCACCAGAACTACCCATAAGGGCACCGAGCATACCAGGTTTGACATAACCGTGGATGTTGTCGAGAAGGACTCTGTCACCGGAAGGAGTCTTGACAGTGTAGGTCAGGTTTCTCCAGGTGAAGATACTAGTGTTGCGGACAAGCTGGTCGTTGTTCTCAGATTCAGACTTGGGCTTCTCGTTCTCGCCTGCAGGGACCTGGGTGTCGGCACTCGAGATGGAGGCTTGAGACTTCTCGGCGGGGTTCTCCTCATCATTGGGGGTCTTGTTCATGACGCCCTTGGCGAGGTGAGCCTTCTCACGGGGAACCAGGAGGAAACCATTGGAGTTACCGTTCTCGTCCCAGCGCATGGTGAAAAAGATGGTCATGCCAACAAAGAGGAACCACCAAGCGAAGAGGATACCAACGTTACGCCAGATGTGAGTAGGGCTGTATGAGAGACTGCTGAGGTACTGCTCTCCGGTGACCGAAGTAGCACCAGGAAGAGCACCGCGCACACCAGCACAAGCTTGGTAGGCAGAGTCGGCGTAGCCAGGACCGTTGGGGACGAGGTTGTTGTTGACACAAGGAATAGTGCGACCCTTGAACTCGTTACCAAGCAGAGACTCGAAACCGTAAGACATCGGGTTGATCCAGTAAATCCAGACGAACCAAGGGTGCATTTCAGGCTTGGGGATCTGGTAACCGATGTAGGTAATCAAAGCACTGATCATGAAACCTGAGACTTTGGAGGCAGCGTCGAATGTGGGGAAAGCGGCACCGATAGCTCTGAAGAGGGCAGTCATGACTAACGTCGAAAGGTAAATAACGAACCAGTAGGTGAAGAAGGCAGCAGCTGTCACCTTCAGACCGACCATAAAGTACAGCACGACGGAGAAGACACTGATCTGGAAGACGAGGACAGGAAGATCGCAAGCGATTTGAGCGATACAGAAGGCGGCAGGGTTGTAGAAGGCAAATGCCTTGTGCTTCGACAAGATGGGACGGCCAGAGAAAGAGTCTGTGACTTCGGACATGGCGAGAAGAGCGTTGAACAAGAGGGACAAGAAGAGAGCACCGCCCTTGATAAAGAGACCAGAGGAGTTATTGGGGGCGTTGTAGAAGAGGGAACCAGAAATCAGAGCCTGTACAAGGGTAGAGCCCTGCTTGATGAGGAAGGTGGCCTTGTCACCCCACAGAATCTCGTATTGTCTGATAATACAGGCCTTGACTTGCGACTGGAAGCCAACAGTGTTCGGACTATGACTAGGAATGCCCTTGGCCTTATCCTCGTGCGTCGCCCTCTGGAAGTCGGCAGTCCACTCCTTTGCACGTGAGCTTTCCGGGAAGTCCAGCTCTTTGTCCATCTTGGCTCTGATTGAGGACTTCTCGTAGCGCTCGCGAATGGCCACGGGGGTCCTAGGGAACTGGGCCTGGAAGCCGTCCTTGATTTTGCGCTCAGTGGGGACGGTGACACCAGTCAGGAAGTCGGCAACATTGGCAGCGTCATCGCAAATAAATCCGAGTTTCTCCATGAAGGGGCGAGCTTGAGCGCGAGGGCCGTAGTAAATCTGCTTGCCCTCATCCAGGACCAAAACTTTGTCGAAGAGGTCGTAGATGCCGTTTCCGGCCTGGTAGAGAGTGACGATAGTAGCCAAGCCGTTTTTATCGGTCAAGGCGCGCAGAGCACGGGTGTACTCCAGAGCAGTCGAGGCGTCTAAACCACGGGTCGAGTTGTCCCAGCAGTAAACACTGGCCATTGTTGCAAGGGTCTCGATAATGGAGACACGCTTGCGCTCACCACCACTGACACCACGAACGTACTCGTTTCCGACTTTGGTATCAGCTGTGTGGCCAATTCCCATCGATCTGAGGAGGAAATCCTTGTACTCGGTACGGAATTGTTCTCTGGTCTCGGTGCCTTCGGGCAGGTTGTTGGGGACCTTCAGGCGTGTGGCGAAATCCATAGTGCGGCCGACTGTGAGCGTGGGGAAGAAAAGCTCGTCTTCGGTGTTCATGGCGATTTGACCTCTGTATTGCTGGGCCTCCTTAGGGTCCATGGTACCAAATCTGATGTCACCATCGATTTCTGCGTAACCTGCTCTCCTGTTTGAAAGCATTTTCAACAATGTCGTGCAACCAGCTCCTGGACGGCCAAGGACAAGAAGCATCTCTCCTGGCTTTACACATCCTGAGCTGTTGTCGATGATTGTCCTGAGCGGAGCAGGATGGCGACCTTCCTTGATGTGTTGAGGAATGTTGAACTGACTCAAGAAGTTCTCATTGTAGGCGGCATCTGCACCAACACCCTTGACTGTGAGGTTATTCCAGGTGACTCCGAGCTTGCGTCCAGTGGCAGGGTCGTTCTCGGCGTATCTCTTGACTTCAGGCATCAAGGCCCAGTCTTCGGCTTTGCTGATGTGTTCGTCGTCCTTGGGCTCTTCGTAGTCGGAGATGCCAGAGCGACCAGATACCGTTCGTGAAATGCGACGCATAAGGTCATCACCGTAGCCGTGGTTGAGCGAAGGCGCCCATGCTACTTGGCTTGTGGTAGCCATTATGTGAAAAGTGGAAGCGTAAGCAGTAGTGACAAGTTGTTGTGCCTATGTACAAGAACGTAATTATCCACGGGCGCTCTGCAGGGATGCGTCCCAATTTGAGCGTGAAGAAGGTCGAAAAAAACAAAGACGGTTTGAGAATGGCTCAGAAAATTGCAAGGCGCGATGCTTGGATCATATATACAAACGCCTCGTAGGATTAGATCCAACAGCAATCGGAGACGGTGTTTTTTCAGTCAAGTTTAGAACACTAATCTCGAATCAGACTCGGATGGCGGAAACTTGTGCCTTCCCTGCCAATCATATCGCAGCATTTCGCCCAGGGATCGAGCAAAAAGTCAAAGCGTCGCCTAGAACTTCTTCGAGGAGATGACGTGTGGGGCGGATTCGGGGGCTTGAGGTCCCTTCTCTGCCGAAACTCTCAACAGTAAAACGACAACACCTCCTGTCCAGCTCGGATTTTGATAAAACCTGCCCTGATGCCGACTGACTCATCAAGCTTCTATGGATCGTGGAAAGAACGAACATCCGGGGTCGTATCTTCTCCATCGATTCTGATGCCTCTTGCATCTTGATAGGATGCTCGGCAACGGACCAACTGGATCGCGACGCGTTTTTTCCTTTGTTGCTCCGAGTTGTCCTAACTCATTGGTAACAGACTTTGGCCATGATCTAAAATGCTTTCACAGCTTACGAAAGGCACATCACAAAATCAATGGCTGTTCTGTCGCAATTCCGATGCAGAAGTTCCAACCGATGCATCTCTGCTTTTGTCCACGTTAGTGGAAGCGGGCACGGTCGCACATCAAGAATAACCTTATTTTTCTTCTTTCGCGCCTTCGTGCCTTACAGCGTGCCTGACCACCATCAGAGCAAAATCTCTACGCTATCCGTCGCATCCCGAAAGTAAAGACTGCCATGATGGTGTGAGCAAGACGATGGGAACATTTCGAGAATCAAACCCCGGAATGTGTCATTGTTGCTTAGGCAGCAACCCTGCAGGAACGGAAGACGGACGAACCGCGTCCCCGGCTCCGAGACGGTCGATACATCGTCCCATGTTGGAAAAATCGGTTCAATGTCAGCATCAGTAAGTCTCACAAACATAATCCTGATCACAAGACAATTCTGGTCTCATGGTCTTCACTGAAGACACACATATATCTACTACTCAATCCAATTGATATTGGTCCATTCTGGTCTCTCCGTCACGCACCTGAACAACAATGCCTTCACAACAATTTAACACTCTCAAAGCCATACCGGACCTGTCCGGAAAGGTCATTCTCATTACAGGAGGTAAGTTTGAAGCCCACAGCATATTTTACAAGTGTTCTAACAACATCCAGGTACTTCCGGCGTGGGCGCAGAAACAGTAAAACAACTCGCAGTTCACAATCCAAGCAAGATCTTCTTCACCGGCCGGAACACAAAGGCCGCCAACACTCTTATCGAGTCAACAAAACTTCTCAATCCACATGTCCAAGTCCGATTTGTACCTTGCGATCTTTCTGATCTGAGTTCCGTGCGCCAAGCAAGTAACAGAATCGCTGCAAAGGCAACAAGAATTGATCTCTTCTTTTGCAATGCTGGAGTGATGGCACTCCCACCCGGTCTTAGCAAAGATGGCTACGAACAACAATTCGCCACCAACCATCTCGGCCATGCGCTTTTGATCGACCTTCTCATGCCAGTACTGCAGGACACGGCGGCGTTGCCAGGCTCCGACGTCCGCATCATCATTACATCTTCACAGGCAGCCACCATGGGATTGACGCCGAAGGGTGGCATCAACTTCCGTGTGTTGAGAACAGAGCAGAAGATGTTTGGTGGACGTTGGCTTCGCTATGGACAGTCGAAGCTGGCGAACATCTTGTACGCCAAGGCTTTGCAGAAGCAGTATCCTTGTATCACCACTGTGTCCATACACCCAGGTATTGGTTACACAGGCTTGCAAGGCAATCTCAAATTGTTCGATCGTTTCATCATGTGGATCACCACAATCGGCAAGCGAAGCTCTGTCGAGCAGCTCTCATGGAATGGACTTTGGGCTGCCACAGCGCCGAAAGGAGTAGCAAAGGGCCAGGTGCAAGGGGGAGAGTACTTCGAGCCCATTGGCATCAAGCCAAGAGCCATCGATTACCAAACCAACACAGCTTTGGAGGACGAGCTATGGGATTGGACACAAGAAGAGTTGGAAGCTTGGGAATTGAAAGCAGGCCTCAAGGTACGACATTCTTTCTCTTCATCTTCTTAGATAGTCTTCACCTTTTACGACCTTTATGTATTATGTACTTACGATTGAAATGGATCATTAGTCGAGTTTGTTATCTGCTTTCTTTGGACCGACCACTGTGATCAATCGAGTTGCTTCCGCCGCTTCTGGTATCTCGGGAGAGGAAACTCCGCGCCCGCCGATGAGGCAGAGAGTTTTCAGTCCTGGTTATGTTGACTCGAGGCGATTGTTGCATCCATTTCCGGAGGTCCGAGTGAATTCTTACGAGTATGATTTCGCTTGACGTCTATACACAGTATTTCGTGCTATCAGAAGTCAGTAATACTCAATGTCCCATCCATGGCTGGCTCATGTTACAATTTTCAAGCGTACAGCCGCTTTGCCGATCATCAGAATGATAAGAGGTCAACCTGGTCTCATCCGTTGCCAGACTGCGTTACAAGTGTGGTCCTCGAAGCACAGAAGATGGATCATGTCATCAGCCGGGGTTGTCAGGGAGGTTGCAAAGGCTAAGGACATGACAGGAAGAGCCAGGCCTGCGATCCCGGACCACGTGAAGTTTGACTGGGGGGAGGTGACCTGGTCGGCGACCTCTGGGGCTCTGCATCAAGTCCTCCCAGCGGCGCGGAATCGTCTCTTCAAAGCCGGCCTCCTTCCCACCCGGATAGAGATGTGAGCCCATTTTGTCAAAACACCCAGATGGTGTATCTTTGACTGTATTGCATGCAATCTCGGTGAATAATTTTTCTCTGCTAGTTTCTAATGTTCAATGCGAATGAGCAGACGTTATGACTTTGTGCTTGGTTCACGACAGACGAAACCGGCCGAGCATAATGTTGATTGAAAGCACTTAACCACGCCATCTCTTCTCGGACCAACTTACAAGCTGACGGAATAAATCATCGCTTACCACTGCTTTCTGCAGTCATGTTCCTCAGCGAATCTTTGGCGTATTCATTTGGTTTTGAGATATGCGAGGATAGCGGCAGGGTTGCCCTGCATTCGCAGATCAACGGAAGTGGAATCTGCATCGATCCGACAGCTTCTTGACAGGCGTTTGCCAAAAAGCACGGATGCTGATCTTCTCGGGCTCGGAGACTTTCTTCAAACAATCTCCGATTGGCTGCACTTCCGTGAGCAAGCGTGACGTACAAGACCCTGGGGAAGGAACAAAGGAGCGAAAGACGAGATGCTCCGGCAGCTCGCAAGCTGTTCTGATTCGAGGTGCTCGAGTCTTGTCACTTGTCGACTACAAGTTGACAAGATACACGTTGGTGTGTCTGGTCGCGAGATCGAAATGAACATTGTACAACGACGAGCCGAGGCTCAAGCTGCAGCATGCTGTGTCAGATGAGGGGAGCGCAAGCGACCTCGACCAGCTCGCCCATCCAGGTCGCTCTTTCCCATTTCTCTCAGCACAACACGTGGGACTTTCCAAGATGACTTCAAAGCTCCCAGAATTCAAGCACACTGCTGTCGAGGATCTCAATGCCATCCACTCACGACTTTACGACACATTCCACTCGCAGAAGACGAAGCCTTTGAGCTGGCGCGTAACGCAACTCCGCAAGCTATGGTGGGCTATCAAGGACCGCGAAGAACAGTTAGGTGAAGCTCTCCAGCGCGACCTTGGAAGACCTTTCTACGAGGCCTACCTTACTGAGATTGGCTGGGTCCTGAACGACATCATCTTCACAATCAACAACATCGAGAAATGGGCAAAGGAGGAAAGCGCCAGCGATGTGCCTCTCACCTTCATGGCTATGCGGCCTCGTGTCCGCAAGGAGCCATTGGGCGTAGTGTTGGTTCTCGGGTGAGTGCTGTTGGGCCATGATGACGTGTAGTATACTGATGTCAGAACAGAGCCTTCAACTTCCCCGTCCAACTTTCGCTCGGCCCTGTTATCGGAGCCATCGCTGCTGGTTGTACCGTCGTTCTCAAGCCATCGGAAAGCTCGCCCTATACTGCCGCCCTCCTGCAAGAAGCTATGGAAGCCTCCCTCGATCCCTCGGCCTTTGTCTGCGTTCAAGGCGCCATCCCCGAGAGTAGCGCTTTGCTAGAGTGCAAGTGGGACAAGATCTTCTACACTGGCTCTGGCACCGTCGGAAAGATCATTGCGAAGAAGGGAGCGGAGACATTGACCCCGGTCACGCTCGAGCTCGGTGGTCGCAACCCGGCCATCATCACAAAGAATGCAGACCCTCGTCTTGCTGCTAGACGTTTGCTCTGGGCTAAGGGTCTCAACGCAGGCCAAGTCTGCGTCAGTCAGAACTATATCTTGGTCGACAAAGATGTCCTGCCTTTCTTTGTCAAGGAGCTCAAGACTGCCATCAAGGAGTTCTACCCAGACGGTCCCAAGGAAAGCAAGGACTTCGGTCGTATTGTCAACTCACGTCAATTCGACCGCCTGAAGAAGATGCTCGACTCTAGTGAGGGCGAGATTTTGTACGGTGGAGAGATGGATGCCGAGACGAACTACATTGCCCCCACCATCATTCGTGTTTCATCTACCTCGGACTCTCTCGTCGTGGACGAGTCGTTCGGCCCCTTCATTCCTCTTCTCGCAGTTGACAATCTTGACGAAGCTATTCGCCTCGCCAACGAAGTCCACAGCACACCTCTTGGTCTCTACGCCTTCGGCAGCAAAGCCGACACCAACCGCATCCTTTCGGAGACTCGCAGTGGTGGCGCCAGTATCAATGATGGCTTTACCCACGCCTCCCTCCCTACAGTCGAGTTTGGCGGTGTCGGTGACAGTGGTGCTGGTTGTTACCGTGGCAAGGCATCTTTCGATTGCTTCACACACCGTCGTGTCGTCACCAACACACCTGCTTGGGTTGAGAGCTTGTTGTCCGTCAGATACCCACCCTACAAGGGCAAGCTTGCCCAGCTGAAGAGAATGAACGACTTTGCTCCCAACTTTGATCGTGAAGGCAAGATCGTGACGCTAGGATTTGTCGCAAGAATCTTGGCTCTGGGCGGAGCAAGTGTTGGACAGGGTATCAAGAGATGGCTCATCTTCGCCATTTTGGCCCTCGGTGTGAGATATGGACAAATGCTTGGTCTACAGGAAAGGTTGAAGAGAACTTGAGAAGATCTTGAGGCACACAATGCGACAGAAAAGTCTAAGGTTGAACAGTACCAGTTTAATGAATGTAGGTGGATCTGAACAAATTTCATATCTTGCATGTCCAAGCGAACATCGACACGATAGTTACTACTTGTCAAGTCTTGATACATTTGGAATAGTTGAACAAGTAGCCAAGTGACAGGGTCCTCGTGAGGCCTGCATTTGTCGTGATTAGGGACGTTACTCGAGGAGAGTTCTTGCACCGTCTTCGAAAGCAAAACGAAACAACGCTCATGTTTCCGGAAGGTGTGAGCGAATATCAAGTGCTATAAATACATTGTTTGTGTATCTAGGTTGTTGCCTTACGCAAAACCCCGACTCGGGTGTAGAAGGGACTCTGCAAACTCGTGGCTGCTCACTGGATAAGAGTTGTGTCTCCATGAAAGCCGCCCCTAGTACCCGGTCTCCCATCGAGCAAAGTGATCGGGTCCATGAAGCATCGCTACAGGGGATGTGCCCGACGCCTGAACTTGGGGTTAATGGTTATGACCCCGTGAATGAGAACCAAGGGGAAGGATGAGTGTCAGGGACCCGAGCACCTCCTTCTCCGTGATCGACCACCATGGAGCTTCGGACATTCTTGCACAGCATCCGTTGCATGGTAGTTGGACTGAGCAGGCAAGAAGCCGGCACTGATCTCTCACGCTTGGCAGGGAGAGGAGGATGTTGTGGTGAGAACAAAGTTGTCTGGACGTTCGAGTTTTAAAGCTCGCCAGTGACGGTCACTTGGCTGGAGATAGGGAGATGCGCATGCTTTAGCCTTTCGGGTTGTTTCGTGCTGTAGTTGATGAGATGGGTCATAACTCAAGTATCCCTGTCGCGAGATCGTTTGTCGACAGCGCGAACACAAGCACTGAAAATGCTGTCATTTGTCGTTCGAAATAGAGAGTACAACGAACAACAAGATCGAGATTCGTGAGCTACATAGGCTCGACTTCTCACATGTTTGAATGATTTCTTTTGTCCCCCCATGTGCTCCTCAAAACAGAAGACCGTGGAGAGGAATCTGTGGCATTCGTTCCGCTGGAGGATTTGCTTCTCAATGCTTTCTGCCGCGAGACAGGCGAGGACCAGGTCCATGAAACGTGCGAGCCTCTCCAATCATTAACAGTAAAGCAAGTGCAACGAGGTTAGCAAACGTCTCACGAAGAGTGTAGCAGTCAAAGACGAGTATGATTGACCTGTGTTACTTCCTCTTCTCCCAGCACGGCCTTTCAGACACAATTGCCAGGCGCAGGCGTTTGTCTCCAGTCTTGCTGTGAATGGGAATGGAAGCTTTGACTTGCAACTCCTCAAATGACTTCGTTTTCACTTGGAAGATTCTGCTGAACACAAGCGGACGCTTTTGTGTTCGAACATTGAATGCAAAACTGAGAGTCGGGGCCGTCATCGTCTGTGTCGTACTGATGAGGCAATGATAGGATACTACCAAAGGCTGTGCTGAGCTTTAGAACCACACATTTGCGAAGCGCATTTCCGTATCATGAGAAGACCGTAAGATGATGCCACCAAGAATTGGCGTTGGGTTATGCGACTTGCAACGCAAAATCGGCACATGCGTACCGATCTTGCATATGACAACTCTAACGTCTATAAAAAGTGCTCGATGGGAATCATTGTTTTCTGATAATACCATAAACCGAAAGTTGGATGCCAGTTTGATGCCAGTTGCGTGAGAGCAGTCTGCTGCGTTGAATTTATGTACATTCCCGACCGCTCGTCAGGAGATCTGCAAACAAGAACAGCAGGTCCATGATGTTCTTGCAGAAGACGGTGTCTCTGGCGATCTAAGCATCTTCATCTGATAGATACACCAAGCTACCGAGGATGAGAGAGAGACGAAGATAAACTGTGTATCACTGACCTGTTTTCTTCCATTGTTACTTCTCGAGGCTTGAGTAAAATATTAGCATGACAATTTCAACAGTAGGCACGCTCTCCCTCCACAATGATCGGAACTCGCCATGCGGATGTCTGGAACTGCGGTGATTTATTGTGCTCGAGTCACTTTTATATTCCAGTGAGGTACCATTCTCGCTTCGCATTCGATCATTGCGTGAAAATGCTTGCTATAACAAACTTGACATCCGTGCAACCTGGAAAAGCAGGAGCTTTGAGACGAAGCATTCTCGGATCAAGGGTTTGCAGTCATATATAAGACACCAAACAAAAAACTTATTGTAATCTCTGGACCATCAAGGTCAAGATTGTACTTGAACCGCCCACGTCGAAGACCGCGTTAAGAAGTTCTATCGCGAATTGACTGATCGATTCGGTATTTGATCGACTGCTCAGGACAAGCGAGTGGTCAGGTCCATGATACTCATCGTCTTGTACATCTCCAAGCATGGCGGCTAAGGCAAGATCTAAGCTCAGGAGCAGATTTCTATAGAGAGGTCTGGTAGTAGAAGGAGTCATGGACCTATCTTTCTCCTTTCTCCAGCTACATTTCATGTAAGATGAATAGGAAGAGTCAAAAGAGACAGTCATCTAGTCTGAAGTTTGTGTTGACACGGGGATGCTCATGCGAGAAGATTAAGAAGATCGTTCACTAACTCCGAGTTCGTCTTGCGTATCTCTGTTGTAGAGTTACACTAGCAGCGTCACACTACGCTGTCTTAAGCTGGTAGCATACAACTCAATCAGAAAGGAAGAGAAAGTGCAGCTGGAACTGATGATAATCGGGGTCTAGAGTTGGTTGCAATATGGAACAGCAACTTCAAACGCTGTGCTAACACTTTGTTCTTCCTTAAAATCTGTGGTGGCATGAGCTGCTTATTCTACAAAATCCACACTCCTCGTCACGCCGTCTTGAGAGGAAGTCGCGTTATTCGCAATTAGCGCCAGAAACGGCATGATCAGAACTTCCGGGTGAGGTAGATAGCAGCAGCTGAACAGGTCTATGAAGTCAAGAATTTCCTGCTCTTTCAGAGGTGATTCCATCAATCATGTCTATATCATCTCCAGAAGTAGCACTATTTATTCACTGGCATCATTGACCTGTGTTCCTTTCTTTTCTGCTGCCTGCGATGGACTCAAAGGAGCAAGGTAGGACACGTTAACATTCGACGCCATAAACGGCATGGCTCAAACTCAGGATTCGCTTTCCAAACCTGGGTTCAGGCTGCTTTAGAATGGTGGGCAAGCGTCAGCGACAATCCTGGGAGTGGTTTTGTAGGGACACTGCCGCAGTTGTCGGATGCACATGTTACTATGGACTATGGTAATTCTGGGGGGCGTCGTCTACTCCTACGCTTCTGCCACGAGATGATCGTGCAAAATATAAATATCGCTTTTCCCTTGTTGTCCAATGACCTTTTACAGACGAGAGACATCAACGACAACATCGCCTTGGACGGAACGCGAAACACACTGATAGCAATTCGTAATAGTAGGACACTCCTTTCCGGTTGTCGAAGCTCGTGTGTATGCGAAAAGAATGAGCAGGGCCATGAATCACCTGGTATTACACTATCAATGATTTATAGTGTATATGATAATCACGTATTGGAGACGAAAAGAGGGATGAGATCGCGAGTATATCATAAGGATCGTTGACCTGCTTATCTACTGCTGCCTCCGTGGTCGCTCTCAGTCATCTAACTCTGCTAATTTTCAACCAGCTCGCTTGAGACCCCGGTCGTTGAGATATCTTTATTCCCAATATCGGCGTCATGGAAGGAAACAGAAAGCAATGTAGCATGAGAGGCTTCTGAAGTGATGCTACGAAGCCGCGTTTGCGCTGATAAAGTAAAGACGTATGGCGCACAACTCGATCCTCTCCGTAGAATGAACAGGCACATAGTTGTCTTGTCATCATCCACATGGGGTGAAGCAATGGTACTGGTCTCACTAATTCAACACGGGAAAGGCAGAGTTCCGGTATAAGTGCTTCATACGACTGGCTACCCTTGGATTCTTCTCATACCATTAACTTCGAAGGCGGAATGGAGAAGACTCTCGACCGCGACTTCAGAAAGTTCCTTGCTCGAATCCATATCGATCCTTAATCTGAGCAAAGGAAGTAAGGCAGCAAGGGAAGAGCACCCATCAGGTCAACGAATCTTGACTTCTGCAACGATACTATTCATACACTGGCAGCTTACCAAAAAGCCTGACCCGAGCCAGAGCGTACAATGGGAGAGCTGACTGATTGGCGTATCACTGACCTGGGTGTCCCGATGGCAGACCTGGCCCTGCAGTTTACATCAAATGTGAACCTTGTGCTTCGCAGCTACGTTCGACAAATCACGCTCCTCTTCTATATCTCTGTGTTCTTGAGTTTGTACTTTTGTCAATCAGGAGTCAGAAGACCTCATATAGTATATCTTACCCTTGAGTATCATGCGGATGTGATAGAGGAACTGATATAGCGTACATCACCGAACGACATGGATTATTATGACTATCACTACGTTTGCTACAACTTTACTCCTGCCATGCTTCGCAACCGAATTGTAAAGAAATGCAACGCAAGAACGCTTGGGAAAAACGGATTGCAACGCCTTAGACTCTCTCAGAACAGCTTGAAGCTTAGGTACATCCTAGAGGAAGTAGTCCTAACAGATTCCTTGAAGAACAATTCAAAGATGAAGTCGCACTACTACTGGTCGAAACGAAGCTCGTAGTAGGTGCTCTGGATGTGACGCTGGTAGACGCCGAGGGACTGCTTACTAGTGAAGCTGCTGACGATGATCTCGATGTCGACGAACTCGAGGATGATGAGCTTGACGAAATTGATGACGAGCTCGGTGGCACAGCTGTCGAAGTGGGTCTGGAGATCGACGAGCTCAATGTTTGTACAGGCGATGGAGTAGTAGTGGTTGTCGTCGTAGGCGTGTACACAGTTGAGAACCTCGATACCGCTGACGTTGTGGCAGCCGTTGCACATCTAGGCTGCCAGAAAGCATTTCCACACCCTACCCAAGCACTTGCAACAGCATTGTATGGATTTGAACCCTTCTGCACCGCCGCAGCTGCAGTCGGAAGCCCCTGAACCACTGAGAAAGATGTGCTTCGCGAAGTGGATCCAGTGGAAGAGATTACATCTACCACGCGACTTTGCAGAAGGACCAAGACCACGGCGCCAGGAAGATTTTGACCAGGAGTAGTGTTGGAGTTGAGATTGCTGACAAAAGTGCACTGGCCATTTACAAAGGAAGAAGCCAGACAGTTTGCGCTATAGGAGCAAGCATTACTGCAGGTTGCCAGACTGGTGTATCCGGATTGAGTAGTAATGTTACTGCTTGCTGGGTACGATTGATTGCACAAGATACCGTATTCTGAGCCTGAGTAATCCAGATAACTGAAGCCATTCAGATTCGGGCAAGCGATATTGGCTGGGAAGGCCACATTTGTTCCAGTATCGGCGCCCACGCTGGTGAATGTTGAGAAGTAAGTGCAAAGGCTTGTTGTGACGACGTAAGATGTTCCAACACAACTTGCCACATTCAGACAGGAGTTTACGCAAGATGCAAAATCAGGCTGCGTGTTCGATGTGATTGGAACTCTTGAGATTGGCTCGCGATTCATGGCAAATCCATGCAAACCATGTTGAGGAAGGCCACGCTTTCGTGATGCAGCATTTGTGTTGCATTGAATTTGATAGCCATTGCCATTCTGATCAGTGTAGTAGGTACCGTCATCATCAGGACAAGTGAATACTGCCGAGGACCTTGATACTGATCCTGTAGGGGCAGCAGAAGGTGTTGAAACTATCTGGGTGGACGAGTCACTTGTAGTAGATGACCTTGGCGATGGAGTCAAAGTGACACCAACAAACGCTGATCCCGGTATGGATGAGAACGATGCACTGATTTCGGAGGAGCTACTCGAGACGGCGGCAGAATTAGGAGAATTCGATGTCGTGGTCGTGGTCGTTGTAGTTATAGTTGTTGAACGAGGGGTCGGTGTCAGTGTGACTCCGACAAAGGCAACACCATCCGAAGACGAGTATGAGCCACTAACTGCACTTGAGGAGCTTGATAAATCACTTGATAAAGTACTGCTAGATGCAGCTTGTGATGATGAGCTCAAAGCTGTTATCGACGATGTAGTGGACGTCACCGTGCTGGTGACAGTCCCTGGTGTGGGTGTAAGGTATGTAGTCTGTGTCAAATTGATCACGGTGCTTGTTGTTGAAGTTGTGAAAATTTGAGGATTCGACGTCGGGCTCGGTGAAAGATCACTAGATGTGGAGCTAGAAGAGGGACTTGGAGATGTCAAAATCGCAGTCAGAGTCGTTGCGGTAGTTGGAATGGTCGCTGTTGTAGGCGTCGTTGCGGTAGTAGGAGTCGTCGCTGTCGTAGGTGTCGTTGCCGTGGTGGGCGTGGCCAAAACCGAGCTGAGCGATGAGGATCCACTGCTTGATACCGAAGAACTGATAGAAGACGACAGACTACTACTGCTTGATGAGGACAGGCTGGAGCTAACACTGGAGCTGCTTGAGGAAGAAGTACTCGAGGATATTGAGGCAGAAATTGATGCGACATTTCCGAGTGATGAAGCCGATGAGGAAAGGCTCGAACTACCCGAAGACGACATGCTCGAGGATAATGAGCTACTTGACGACGATAGGGCCGAGCTGATGCTCGAGCTGCTACTGCTGGACGAGGAAGAAGAACTGCTGGAGGAAATCGAAGCCGAAATTGAGGCAAGTCTTCCTGACGACGACGCCAATGAGGATCCCGACGAGGAGACGCTTGAGCTTGATGACGAAGATAAGCTGGAAGAAGATGAGCTGCTCGCACTAGAGCTACTGCTACTTGACGAGGAGGATACGCTGCTGGACGAGATGGAGGCTGAAACCGAAGCAATCCCCGCGGATGATGAGATTAATGACGAGACCGAGCTGGAAACACTTGAGCTACTCGACGACGACAGACTGGACGAGGAAGAACTGCTCGCGCTCGAACTGCTGCTGCTAGAAGAAGAGGATATGCTGCTCGAAGAAATCGAGGCGGTGATCGAGGCTAGGTTCGCCGAGGAAGAATTCGATGATGAGACCGAGCTAGATAGGCTCGAACTAGATGAGGAAGATACGCTACTAGATGATGAACTGCTTGCGCTTGAGCTGCTGCTACTCGAAGACGAATAACTGCTCGATGAGATTGAAGCAGAAATCGAAGCCAGGCCTGCGGAGGAGGATACCGATGACGAAACCGACGACGATAAACTAGAGCTGCTTGAAGACGATGCGCTGCTAGATGACGAGCTGCTGGCGCTCGAACTGCTACTACTCGATGAAGAGGACAAGACCGAAGCAGAACTTGACGCCAAATTTGCCGAGGACGAGATTGATGATGAAACCGAGCTGGAAACGCTCGAACTAGAAGACGACGATGCGCTACTAGAAGATGAGCTACTCGCGCTCGAGCTACTACTGCTGGAAGAGGAAGATGAGATTGAAGCAGAACTTGAGGCCAAGTCAATCGAGGACGAAATTGACGACGAAGCTGAACTAGAAATACTCGAACTGCTTGAGGAAGAAGCACTTGAGCTACTCGATGACGAGAGGCTAGAACTGACGCTGCTTGAAGAAGATGATGAAGATGAGCTGCTAGAAGAGACCTGGGCGGAAGATGATGCGTCGTCCACGGAGGAAGAAATTGAGGAAGAAATTGAGGAAGAAATTGAGGAAGAAACGCTTGAACTGCTTGATGATGACGAGCTGGAAATACTGGACGATGATGAAGAAGAAAGACTCGAGCTCACACTAGAGCTACTGCTACTAGAAGAGGAAGAGCTGCTTGATGATGTTGCTGATGCCAAGCTGATCGAAACGCCTTGTGCGAAGGAGGCTGAAGAGGATATCGAGGATGAAACGCTACTACTGCTTGACGAGCTCGATGATGATAGGCTGGAACTGATACTGCTGGAAGCTGATGAGCTACTGCTGCTCGATGAAGAAGAAGATTGACTGCTGATCGAAGAAACTGAAGCGGTGACTTGGCCGGCTAAGGATGAATCCGAGGATGACAAACTTGAACTGCTAGAGCTTGAAACAGAAGAGCTGCTGCTACTAGAAGCAGAAGAAGAACTACTGCTACTGCTTGACGATGAGAATGAGGAGCTACTGCTACGCGACGCTGAAGCTGTGACTTGGCCGGCCGAAGAAGAATCTGAACTCGAAACACTCGAGCTACTAGAGGACGAAGAACTAGAACTGAGGCTGCTAGAGACCGACGAGCTACTACTGCTCGAGACTGAGGAGCTGATACTGCTGCTGCTCGATGACGAATATGAAGAAAGGCTGCTGCTGGATGCCGAGGCCCTAATTTGTCCCGCGGATGAAGAATCTGAGCTGGAAACGCTTGAACTACTCGAGGATGAAGCGCTTGAGCTACTACTACTCGAAAGTGATGAGCTACTGCTGCTTGACGCAGAAGAACTGCTGCTACTACTCGTCGAGGATGATACTGATGAAATACTACTCGAGGAAATCGAAGCCGTAATTTGACCAGCCAAACTGTTCGAAGATGATCCTGAAGAAAAAACCGATGACGACGAACTGGAGCTGGCGCTTGAGCTACTACTGCTGGAGAGCGAGGAACTGCTACTGCTCGAAAGTGATGAGCTCTGGCTACTGCTGCTGGAAGATGATGAGGAAGAAATGCTGCTGGATGAAACAGAGGCACCCGTGATTTGTGCAGCAAGAGATGATCCAGACGACGAAATCGATGACGACGAACTAGAACTACTCGAAGACGAAACGCTTGAGCTAGAACTACTTGACGCTGAGGACGAAACCGATGAACTTCTGCTGCTAGATGCTGAAGAACTGCTACTACTGGATGATGATGAGATACTGCTTGACGAGACAGATGCAGTAATCTGGCCAGCTGACGATGAAGCCGAGGATGATATCGAGGATGAAGAACTTGAACTGCTTGAGCTCGAAAGGCTGCTCGAAATCGATGAACTGGCAGAGCTGCTGACTGACGACGAAGAACTGCTACTTGACGAAGAAATACTGCTTGATGAAATTGATGCAGTGACTTGGCCGACCGAGCTGCTCGATAGAGAAGATGCTGAGGACGAAATGGAGGAGGAAGAACTAGAACTACTCGACGACGAGAGGCTTGAGCTAGAACTACTCGATGCTGACGAGCTGCTGCTACTACTCTGCGATGACGAGAGACTACTGCTCGAGGAAGAACTACTAGATGATGAAGCAGAAGCAGTAATTTGTCCCGCGGAATTACTGATTATGGATGATATCGAAGACGACACCGAGGAGCTGCTAGAGGACGACAGGCTGGAACTGACGCTTGAGCTGCTACTACTTGATATTGAGCTGCTGGAACTTGAACTTGACGAGGAAGAAATACTGCTTGACGCGGAAGCGGTAATTTGGCCGGCAGAGCTACTGATCAAGGAAGACGCAGAAGAAGATGCTGAGCTTGACGAACTAGAGCTACTCGATGAGGAGAGACTCGAGCTTTGACTGCTAGATGCGGATGAGCTGCTGGAGCTACTAGAACTGCTGGAACTTGACGAGGATGCCGAAATTGAGGCGGTAAGTTGGCCAGCCGTGTTGCTCGCAAGCGACGACGCCGACGACGAGAAACTTGAGCTGATAATGCTGCTGCTAGACGACGACAGACTTGAGCTCAGGCTGGAACTACTACTGCTTGAAATCGAAGAACTTGAAGAACTAGAACTTGAAGAAACAGAACTTGAAGAAACAGAACTTGAAGAACTGGAACTTGAAGAACTGCCGCTTGACGAAGCCAATGCAGTGATTTGTCCGGCAGAACTGCTGATGGACGAGGAAGCCGAGGAAGAAATGCTGGAAGATGACGAACTCGAAAAACTGGACGATTGGCTACTGGATAAACTTGAGCTTACGCTACTACTCGACGAAGACGAACTACTGGAGCTCGAACTGGACGAAGAAGAAGATAGTGATGCTGAAGCTGTTATGGCACCGGCAGAGCTGCTCAAAGAGGACGATGCTGAGGACGAAAAACTTGAGCTACTCGAGGAGGATTGGCTGGAACTGCTCGATGAGGACCGTGAACTGCTGGACGACGACGAGAGGCTAGAACTGCTGCTGCTAGATGCCGAAGAGCTGCTGGAACTAGAACTTGATGAAGAACTGGATACTGATGCCGTGACGCCTCCCGCGGAACTGCTCTGGGATGAGGAAGCCGAAGAGGAAATACTGGAGCTGCTTGAGGACGATAGACTGCTACTGCTGGATGACGAGAGCGAGGAGCTCACGCTAGAACTACTGCTGCTTGACACCGAGGAGCTGCTTGAACTTGAAACTGACGAAGAACTTGATAGTGAGGCGGTGATTTGGGCAGCAGTACTACTGAGCGACGACGACACGCTCGAGCTACTTGACGAGGAAAGGCTGCTGCTGCTTGATGACGATAGACTGCTGCTACTCGATGACGATAGACTAGAACTGCTCGAGCTTGAAATCGAAGAACTTCGACTGCTTGAGACTGAAGAACTTGAACTTGACGACGACGATGACGACAGGGAGCTGGAGCTCGATGTGGTGGTTGTTATTGCTCCAGTGTATATTACGCTTCCAGCAGAATTGGTCGTGTATCCGGTCGGGTAAACGGTGACAGTGACAGTGACTGGGCATGTCTCTGAGGTCGCGAGTCAGCTTGTGCATCTTGAATCACACAGAATTGATGAACTTACGCGTTGAAGTGGCCGTAGGTTGTGGGCTCGATTGTCCAGCGGATGCTTGTACATCGGTTTGTCCAGTGACTTGTGACGAGATAGCCAGCAAGACTAGCAGTAGCGAACTTTGAATGTGTTTCATCTTCGCGACAATTGCGAGCAAATACGCTCAACCAACAGCTCAATGACCAGCGACAAGAATCTTTGCGATGACCTTCGGGAGAAGAACCCAGTGGAAGGAAACGCCCTAGGCCCGAGGATGTTTCGGCCGATGAAGCTTCGGAGAGAACTGCAGAGCCAAACATTGTATTTCAATCAGGAATGTACGCGTTGTTCAGTGAATCGGTTGTCCGAAGAATGTTGTAGCCCCAACCTAAGATGTTGTCGAAGTTATCGCGTGAGACTGTCGTCGCAAAGCGTGAAGAGCAGTCACTGATGCAAAGCAGATACGTTCACGCCTGTGTGACAGATAGTAGACCTACAACCATCAGACCTACCAAGTATGCCCGCGTCTGAAGCCATTTTCACGCAACATTCCGGCTACAGTATCGGCTTTTCACGTCTCGAAGATCCGGGTAGGCGGCATCATCACATCGTTCTCGGCTCGACGCTCCGACAGCTGAATACACAGTTCCATTATCCGGGCCAGATGAGGCAGTATTGTGCGATTGTGGTGCACAAAAGAAGCAAGGGGCCATCGAGTGCGTAGGAAGGATGTTGTTGTTTCTCCTTTGCCACCGGAGCTTCACATCCGACATTCTGCCGTGGTGAGCGTACCACCCTGTCCTGACATCAACGTTGGCGGACGACAACTTTCCATGTCCAACATTCGCCTCAGGTACCAGATATCTCTAACATACGGATCGTCGACGAGTCTGGCCCCTGCGTGACACAAAATTTCCGCAGGTAATCTCATTCAGCGCAACGCAGTCTTTGCATTGAATGCTGTCTCATCAAATTGTTCTTGGAGTATCAAACGGGACCCACCATGCAATGCGAGGACTCCTGTTCCAAGGTACATACGACCAACGCTGGTATCAATCTCGTCACGATGTGGTACAGCCACTCCATGTTGTGTTGATCATTGAGAAGATGAAGACTGTCATGGGCGTGATTCACTTCTTTCTTGTGGAACAACAAAAGCAACAGATAGATTCAGGAGCATATACAATGGAAGAAGCGGCCGAGCCAAAAGCAGTTGTTGCCGAGCTGAGAGCTGATATTCATTGGCTTTCGCTCCGGTTCTTGGGTGGGTGTGGGCGGCACCGGTTTGAACTTGTCGGGAGACTCTGTAAAGTGGCCGTAGTGCGCGCAATGTCGGCAAATGAGATCGGTTTGGTCTGAGAGGTCTGGATAACACAGGGCTCGCCAGCTCTGGTATTTGTAACGGTATAGATATGGGATAGGAAATTACCTTACGGTGGATGGGCTTGGATGCGCCAGGGCATGTGACTGCAGCAAGGTTGGCGCAGTGTAGTGGGCGTAAGAGAAGGCCACTGGCGTTCATCCTCCTGTGGACGGGCGAGCTGGATGTAGCAGTAGGATATTGTTGTCGACTGGCGCCTGGCGCCTGGTACAGAGGGCGGATTGTGACGTTTCAGCTGTATACCCAAGGCATTCAGGTGGGCGACTGAGGCACCGAGGCTCCTCCAGAAGACATCTTCATCGTAAAACTCCGTTGTGTGGTCGAAGAAGCGGTGGTGCCAAACACAGAAGGACGAGCCGTGGTTTCGCGATGCTTAATGGCCAAGTGGAATACAACCGAGGGGCCAGTGGAGGTTGCGGTTGCCCTAGTGGTTCGGGGTCACGACACGGATGGAGGGAGACGAGGACTGGAAGCGAGCATCTTCGGGACGGGATGTGAATCCATGAGATGGTGTGTCGCATCCTGGTTAGCATAACGTTGTCGGGAAGATCCTGGCGAGGCGGACGTTGAGGTTGGCGTCGAATGCCCAGAGCATTGAGGTTGTTAATTGAGACACTGATGCTTTTCCAGAAGATACGCTGACGATGAGGGCCTGTGGTATCGGCAGTTGTGTGACCCCAGTAGTCTCATGATACTGGCACACCGATTTGAGCTGAGCGACAGGCTGGGCTGGGAGGGTTTATGGGGAGTGACCAAGCTGATCGCAGTTGTTGCAGGTGACGTTGACGATTTGGGCTCGGAGCTGATCCCGTTTGTTGCAGTTGCTGCAGGTGACAACAGTAGGATTGGTGCAGTTGGTTTGTTGTGACTATCAAACAATTCGCCGAAGGATCCTGTAGCATTGAGGTGCATGGCGTTCGTACCCAGTCTGGCTGCGATTGAAGCAGACGCCTGTCATTTCCTTGGGAGTTGGAGAGTGAGCTGAACAAGAAATGGCAGTGAAGGAGGATGTAAAGTGTTTCGAGATGACGCCAAGGCATGGGGATTCGACGTCATGGCCCGCAGGATGTAGCACGTGTGGAGATTCGTGGATCCGGAGCGAAACTCCGCCATCTCCCACAACAGCGTAAGTGTCGCCAGAATCCTTTTTCAAATAATCTGCTAACACTGGTCCACATCAGCCATCCAATGCGCGACTTTGCTTTGAAAACACCGCACCGATCCAAGCCGCCCGATACCGCTTCATGAACCACCCCACCGTGTTGAAGACGCAAAGCGCCCTGCCACCTCAGCAACTCTTTCGTCATGCTCCCCGCCGGTGGCACTACCATCCTAGTTCCCTGCTTGCCATTCAGACTTAGCGACTAGCCTGCTCTTTCGTCCTTCGTCCTCCCCACTCGCCGTGGCCGACATCTTTCCTCCCTCCCTACCCTGGACGGCAGCATCCTCGGCACCTCTGACGCCGCCGCGAATGACGAACCCCAGCTCCAAACGTGGTCTGCCCATTCGCCTTCAATCACGGACAATGAGCGACACAAAGCACAACAGCAAGAGTCCTCGGAGTGACAACCTCGCAAGCTCCCTTGAAGTCGCCGCAGACCCCCACCCACTCTAATGCGCCCGCTCCCTCTCCACCGTAGGGCCTCACTCCTCTCTTTGGCTCGGTCATGGAATACATCGTCCTACCTACCCACTCGGTCGGCTCTGGCACTGGGCAACACACCGAAGAGGATTGCTGCAGACTTGGAAAAGAGAAGGCAAAACTGCGACGTGGGGAAGCAAGAAGAGAACAACCTTGGCTGGGGGCTTATGCAGGCTCAATACTTTCAACACCTGGACGAACAGGAACAGACACTCCAGCGTTACTCCGGTCAAGCCTGCGCAGCTGCACCCCACCATCATCAACCCGCTTTCCATCCACTCCTTTACAATGCGTGTTCATGTCCATGTCCGTCACTATGGGCGGCTGCGACAGTATGCGCCGCGGGTGACAACAGTAGGGTTGGTGCACTTGCCCTGGTTGTGACTAGCAATCAGTCAAAGAGGAATCTATGGCAGTGAGGTGCACGGCGTTCATACCCAGTCTCGCAGCAGTTGAAGCAGGCGCCTGTTAGGAGATGGAAGAATCAAACAAGGTGAGCCATCAGTGTCTTGGAATCGAGAAGAAGGAATGGATCATGTTGGTGCAGGAAGAAGCAGGAGACAAGTCAAACGCGGCAAAGGGGAATAGCAATCGTACCTGCTGTGTTACATTAAGAAAGACACCGAGGGTACCTCCATAACAAGTAAAGCAAAAAGGTCCCCTGAACACAGCTTGCTACTCCGAAAAGCTCAATGTAAGTATTATCTTCCCCTCCAAAAAGCTCAATGCAAGTATCATCTTCCCCTCCAAGAACCAGCGCGAGGCCAGGAATCGATGGGGGAGCACTTGCGAGAAAGGCATGGAATTGAGCACCTGTGAAGAGGGCNGGTTGATCGTGGAGTCTGACCTGATCCGCCTCTTCTTCCATGATTGCCGGCACCGCAGGGGTTGTGCGCGTTCTTCGGCTGTTTGCCATGGCTACCGCGATGCTTGCCCCTCTTCTTCTTCTTCTTCTTGAAGGCATCGCGGTTGTTGATATCATGAAGCATTCGTTGTGGCGCAGGTGCAGATTGTGCTTGCCAAGTAGCCGGCATAGGAGCGTGTCGTGCCATGAAGGTGGTCATGGTCCATGTGGTCGTAGTTGTGGTTATTGTTATTACGGTCACTTGACCTTGTGCGTAGGTAAGCATCGAGGGAGTTGTGATGCCAGAGATGCTGTTGTGGTTGCTGGTGAATCGACGGGACACCGTCAAACCGGGCAAGCAGACAAAGGCACCGTCAAACCGGGCAAGTAGACGGGCACCGTGAAACCGGGCAAGCAGACAAACGGCAAATCCACCGAAGCAGACCACAAGAGCAGAGCCAAAGACGATCGAGAGATCTTGAGGGTTACCAACACCCATATGTCAAAGTACTTTTGTGGGAGTTCATGCGAGAAAGTCAGTAGGGGAGACCAGCTCCACCCCTACCACCGCGGCCGCGACGAGGACGATGACGAACCTGGCCATGGTCGCCATCCTGACCATCTTGACAAACCTGGCCATCTCCACCCTGTTCAGAACCACCTTGGCCATGTCCACCTTGACCTCTTCCAAAGCCGCCGGGACCTCCATAGCCGCCCTGATCGCCAAAGCCTCGCTGGCCTTCAGGACCACCACCATATCCACCGGGGCCGGAGTCCACCTGGGGCTGGATGGCAGGGGCTTGCCCACGTACGACGGTCTCCAACTGTGCCTTGGCGAAGTCCAACACAGCTTGTAAGTTGGGGTCGACGGTGGGAGCAGGAGCTTGAGCACCGAAGTTGACAATGTAGCCGAACCCTGGGGCTTGCCTACCAGAATGTACGAGGTTCTCCAATACTGCCCTAGTGGTGTCCAACGCGGCTTGATAGTTGGGGTCGACCGTGGGAGCAGGAGCTTGAGGGTGGTAGGGCTGCTGAGCCCAGGATTGCGATTGATCGTTGCTCTGGCGAGAGGGATCAAACCAAGTCTGCAAATGGTTGTTGCGACGGTCGTTGACAGTGCTGTCGGAACGGTCGCGGAATTGCGTGAGGGTGCTGCGGGGACCGCGAGGGATGGAGACTGGCGAACGCGAACGCGGGCGAGAAGGTTGTTGAGGTTTGGCGGCAGTAGCCCGATTGGTGCGGTTGCTGTTATCATTGCCACCTTGCTGGCGCTGATTGTTACGACGGTTGCCGACAGCGGTGTCGGAACGGTCGTGGAAACGGGAGGCGGTATTGCGAGGACCGTGGGAACTGGTAGTGGGCGAGCGCGAACGCGAACGAGGGTCTGAAGGGCGCTGACGAACCAACGCTGTCGAGATGACAGCGCCTTCAATCTCGTGATCAGCGTCCTGATGGAGGTCATCATGCTCCCAATTGCCATCGCCCTCGTCGTAGTATTCGATGACTTGCCTCTCCGGCGACGGCGAAGGGTTGTTGAGCATCAAATCCATCAAGGCCTGGCGGTCAGGATGGATGAAAGCCATGGGTTCGGGCACAGCTATGGAGTCAGCAGCGACTGTGGTAAGTGCCAAAGCGCGGTAACGAGCATGCAAGCGACGAACGCGCCCAAGGCGATCCAAGTCAGTGCGAGGAGCGGCCCAAACGCGATCAAGTTCATGCTGCGCGTTGATGGCATACAGACCAGCCATCTGGGAGTCAAGATCTTTGCGCGTATCCCAAAGGGCGGCATCGATGCTGGTGTTGCTGGGGTCGCACATTGTGATTGCTGACTTACCTGGAACGTTCTTTGATTGCGTTTGCTGGTGTTAAGATTGATGGGCACGTGGTTAAAAGGAGGTAGAAGAGGACGCTCAAGGACAAAACAAGCTTGTGCGCAAGCAACAAACACCAACTCTCGGATCCTGGAAAGTCTTTCACTTGGCTTTGATGGAATTCAAAAAGCACAACAAACTCCAACAGTACGGACCAGCAAGCCCTCCTCGTTGCTTGGAAGCACAAGTATTTTCTCATCTGCCTCCGGGATGACCGAGATATCGGGGATTTACCTTTGCAAAGCATTACAATCCTCGCAATCGACCATGCTAATTGCTACGGCCATTTCTTGTTCCCTTTCACTCAAAGAACTACATCCTATACCGAGAAGAACTATGGATAATGGAGTCACGATTCACGACAGACTATCTAACCACATACTTCTTTTGACTTTGGCGGCCTAAATTACAGGCATGCCCATCAGAAAGTCGAGCTCCAAAGCCTCGGACAAGACTACCGAGATGATTGAGAGCACTTTCTCGAAATGTTCGTAGGTATCTTCGGTGCCTTGTCGCTGTTGGTAGGAGACCCAACACGCTTCTCTCATTACAAACCCGCAGCGATGGAAAAGATGCCGGAATATGCTAACCTTTCTTCCACATTAGCTCCTGAACACATGAGAGCGCTCCAGGCTCAGCACAACGACAAAATTCCGTGCTCGAAGGCTATGAGCAAATTCTGTATGGACTCGCTGGCCAGGGATGGTGCCGAACTCGCCACCGATAAAGAGCTTGCCAAACGCCAAAGACAAATCGCCAGAAAGACAAAAAAAGCAGCGCAACGGCCAGGGTTCGCCAACTCCCTAACACACAAAGACAATCGGCGGTGCATGGGAAGTTTCTGGAGTACAAGGCAGAGCAAGCCCACAAGGTCTTTTTGGCAAGACGCACAATGGCTAGATCAATCTGCGACATCGACTGGTCGATTGACGACAAGACGCAGGAAGAATGGGCCAAACAACGTGGCGCATGGGCCACATCGAGTGAGCAGGCAAAGAGTGGGAAAGCTAGGAATGTCTGGGCAAACTTGATCGACCTGGCAAGATTCTATTTACACGGCCGCGAATGGAAAGGCAGACGCTCCCTTGTGGCAGCCCGGAAATCGATGAATGACTGGGAGGTGGATGATAAGGAGTGTGGTTTCGAAGAGGAGTATCCTTCATCCAAGGAGGTCGAGTACGAGTATCCAGGTGAACAGGAGTATCCAGATCCATTTGAGGAGGTCCAGTACGGATACCCAGACGAATAGGCTTCCTACTCCCCTGCTCATCCAACAACAGACTCTGAGCCGTAAAAGTCTGTTCTTGCTTGGGGTCAGAGGTGTCAAGGTTACACGGAAGGCCTCAGCGTCCTCTGCGGGACGTTTTCCTCGACTCTCGAGCCTCTGAGAGACCTGGCAGTTCCGGACAGAAGCTGCAAGGTTCATGTCCCTGTTCTCACTTGGGTTAATGACACCGTTGTCTGCGTGCCCGGCTTACCGGTGCCCCTCTGTTTGACCGGTTTAACGGTGCCTGTTTCCTCGATCAGAATGGGTTGCTTGCAATCGCTTTGCCAATTGGATTTGCGTGAGCAACATTCCTCTCGAAGGACGAGTCGCTTGAGAGTCTTCCTCTCCACGACCCAGCGCAATCGACAAACACGACAAGATGTAGTAAGTTCAAGACCGCAACGATCAATCTCAGAAGACTCTGCTAACGTATCAACAGATCCTGCAGACTTTGAAGAATCCCAGGGTCGACTGGGCGTACTGTCCAACTCTGCCTACTGCCATCCTGTTCAGCATTCTCGTCCGGCTGACAACATGTGCTCACCTGCCGCGAACAATCTACTACCAGCAGAAGAGTGTTGCCATCATCATCTTTGGAGGTCTTCTTGAGACAGTGGCGTTCAGTTTCTGTGATTCAAACACCCCACCTGGACCCTGTATACGAAGCTGAATTCGTTCTGGTTCTCATCGCGCCCTTGTAGATGAATGCATATGACTTCGTCATACTGGGTTGGTTGGTCAACTATTGCATGCCTGATCGCAAGCTGTCGCGAGTCTCTGCGCGAAGAATCGCAGTCATCTTGGCTTGCTCCGATGTTGTGTACGTACCTACTGTGAGACTCGATGATTGAGTAGGGTCGCAGACGACGACAAGGACATCCTCCGTTCAGCTCGCGGGTGAGGCTTACGACTTCCCACAATACCAAGACGGTCAATATGGCATTGCACATCTGCACAGCAGGTGTGGTGTTGCAACAATTCTTCATCTTGTCTTCATCATGTTTGCCATAGCCTGCGAGCGCCGACTGACGCGTGAGTGCGACGCGGTCAAGGCAACAAATGCGAAGAGACTGCTCTAGGCTCTCGATGGATCCTTGGTTTTGATCTCGGTGAGTGAATCGAGTGAGATGCTACAGCGACCGCTGCGTCGCGTGCTGACGACATGACAGTTCCAAACCATTCTTTGCATCATCGATTGCTCGAGTAACCGTAGCAGCAAGATCAATTCTGGACTCGACTGCCATGAGATCTACCAGTACTTGGTCGACTCGTTGCCGATGCATTTCGCATCGGTCATCTTCAACGTGTCTCATGCGGTGCGATTTCTTACCAGTCCTGACGCAGATGAGTTGCGTAAGAAGAGCAGAACAGAAAGGCATGTAGAGAAAGACGCGAGCAGAAGGCGCGCTCAGTGCTATGCATCACGAACGAAACAAACCTCAGCCCCCAACTTACCTTGCGCTATTGTGGAGGTGCGGATCTGCTCCAATTCGACTCCACCAAGCAATTCGAGGCCAGGACCATGAGTGGCTTGTCCAAGTGGTCAGACAGAAGGCAGTACCGCTTCATCCAAGGTAGATGGTAGATAGTTAGAATGCCCGAAAAATCAGGACGGCATGCTTTTTTGTTTAGCATCCCTTCGCTCGGCGACGTCCTTTCGCAAAGATTGGCAATGAATGTTCTAACCTCTGTAGCTACCTCATCCTCGTACGTACATGGCCGTCGCCGTCGCTTCTTCTTCTTTCTTATACGTACATTGCCGTCGCCGTCGCTGCTTCCTCTTCCTTGCACGTACATCGCCGTCACCGTCGCTTCTTCTTCTTTCTTGTACGTATATTGCCATCGCCGTTGCTACTTCTTCTTTCCTATACGTATATTGCTGTCGCCGTCGCTACTTCCTCTTCCTTGCACGTACATTGCCGTCGCCGTCGCTTCTTCTTCTTTCTTGTACGTACATTACCATCGCCGTCGCTACTTCCTCTTCCTTCTACGTATATCGCTGTCGCTATCACTACTTCCTCTTCCTTCTACGTATATCGCCGTTGCTATCGCTTCTTCTTCTTTCTTATACATATATTGCCGTCGCTATTGCTTCTTCTTCTTTCTTATATATATATTACTATTACTATTACTTCTTCTTCTTTCTAACTACTATACTATAAAGGAATTAAGTCGATTCTATTCCTAGTTAATGCAGGGATTTTAGGCTTAGTAAAAAGTAGGGGTTATTTCTATTAAAACTTAGGGGTTAATTCCTAGGCATATAATTCTGTCGCTATTTAGCGTCGCGTACCTATATTATAGTACGCTAATTAGTCTAACGCTAGCGTACAGGCTAGCCCTAGTTTTTTTAGTATAATGCTAAAACGCGACTTACCTACCCTATCTTATAACGCTAAAACGTACCTATCTCTTCCTCTCTATTACCTACCCTATTACGTAACGCTAAAATGCGTCTATCTTCTCCTCTTTATTATACTATAGTTATATTACTTAATGTAATAGCGTATCTACTATAATTATAACATTATCTATCTATAATATACTTTATAATATATATATAAAACACCTATATACTAAAATAGTAACTAATAACGTAGGTTGCTATAAAGCGCCCTAACTCCCTATTAATATATTTAGCTATAACTTTAATAATAATATAATCCTCTTAAATAATCTTTATAATACTAATAAGAGCGATACGTTTAATATTAAGGACATTATATATAAGACTAGCTTATAGAACACGTCTAACCCTAATTACGTAGCACCTATTCTAGGTACTATATTACGTCTATACGTATACGCCCTACTAGTACTAATATATTATAAGTTTAGGAACGTCCCTAGAATAGGATAATAGCTATATTAAAATCGACCTAGCTATCCTTACTAACTACCCTTCCCTATATACTAACTACTCTTCTATAACGTCGCTAGACTAAGCCTATTCTATATATTCTCTATAGTCCTTACTAATACCTCTAGAAAGCCTATTTTAGTATCTTAGCAAAAACTATATACTTATCTACCTCTAATACTAGTATGTAGTTAGTCCTAACCTATAGGTAGTTATTAGGTACCTTTAGAAATATTATAATATATCCTCTATAGCTAATTACTACTCTATCTTCTATCCTTTTACTAATCTTCCTATTATAAGCCTTAACTCTAT